TATCTTGCATAACTGGTGAACTCCCTTCTAGCAAGAGGTGGGGATTGATCAATATTCTGGCTTTCAAATGTCCAAGGGTAACCATCGAATCTGTTTCCGTGTCTACCGGACCTTTTGATCAACCCTGACGTATGGAGCTCAGCCATCCCCAACCTCGCCTGTGCCGCCGCAGTAGGCGGTCTCGGGCGCTGGAGGACATCTTCATCTGGAACCGCAGCGCCAGCCACAGCGCGATCAGGGTGAAGGTCACCGACCAGCCTTGCGGGAAAACACAAACACATAATCACTGGAGTCATACTCAAAGCCCGGTGATAAAATGGTTGTAATCCCAGTATGCAAAGAATGAACAAAAAGGCGGCTATTTATGGTTGGGATGGTCCCGTACTAATCTTTGAATTACCCGGGTTTTGGTTGTGGCTCACTTGAGTCACTTGATCCGAAGGCCCACGGCCTCGGGAGAAAAGCTTGAGATCAGTCCAGGAGTCACACGCGCTCCCGCAGTAAAAAAAAATCGGAGCGTATCGGTGGTCAAAGCTTTTTCGGCCAAATGGACGAAAGCTTGAAGGGGCACGGCAGTTGTCCAACACCTTGGAGTGGCGTCCATGGCCGTTTTTGCTTTGCCAAGGAGCAGGTGAAAACCAGCCAGAGGCCCACCGCTGTGCGTTCTGCCTGGCCAAGGGTGCCATGGAAAAAAACACGGCTCTTACAGCTGACCGGGTAAAGTCCTGACACCGAAAACACAGAGATGCAACTTGCGTTCCTCTTCATTCGGGCAACCGCCGCTTACATTGGTGCCATGAAAAGCGCGATTCATCCTGTTGTGCCTTTGCTTTCATTTTGGGTGTGTCTTTTGTTGAGGCTACCCCTATTTTGTTGGTTTCAAAGGAAAACCAAAAGGCACACCACCAATTTGGGGGGGGGGGTCGGCACCCCTTGAGGCAAACTCGTTGGTTTGCCGCTAGAAGAGCCGCCTCTTCCGGAGGGAAGCCCTCAATGGCCATAGTCCAGCACACGCCCAGGATAATGCTCCCCATGATGACGTGGGTCTGGACGCTCTCCATCATGAGCTTGTTCACATCCCGCATGTCCTCTCGGATCTGGATGGACCGCTCATATCGCACCTGCTGCCGGAAAATGTCCTGCAAGCATCGAGAATCGACTCGTGCGGGGCTTGTTCGACGCCGAGTCGCGCAGTAGAAGCCCCCATTGCAAAACATGAACGTGTCCAAGGTTTTAGAGGCCGCCAACTACAATGAACGCAGCTACACCCAAAAAAAAAGAAAGGCAATGGAGCGGACAGTCGGCCCAAGGCCACCACCAAACCGCCAGGCCACCGTGAAAAACGCCGGAGCCCCGAGCGACGCTCCTGGGCGACCTTTGCTTGGTGGGCATCGCCGGTGACCGCCACAAACGAGCCAAAGATGCTGCTGGCGAAATCTGCCACCTGATGAGCTTTGGCCCGTTGAAAAAACAATTACCAGAGAAACACCTCCAGCCTCACTAGGCCCTCCAGTAGAGAGGCTAGAATAAGGGTACCCTTTCTTGGTAGTCTATATTAGTAGGGGAAACCTCCCCAAAAGAAGGGTAAAGGGCACTACTGGGGGACCTAGCTCAGCTCAAAAAAACCGGGCCAACCCGAAGCCGCCCCCCAAGGCCAACAATTTGCAGCATGAACAGGTCCTCGCCCAAACCGCCGTTCCCGTGCACCCCAACCCCACCTCACGGCTGCGAGAGAGCACCAGGCCGAAGACCGTGGCCAGCGCCCCGAGCAGAAGCATCACGCCATCGCGAGTGGCCCGCCCGCTCGCCCTGAGGCCTAGAGGCTTAAATGCCCTACCTTCGGGGCCTAACCGCCCGCGTGCGCCGAGTGTGTTGCTGGCTGCTGCATCAAAGCTCAAGGTGACGGTGGGTTGCGTGAGAGTCGAGCTGCTTTTGGGGTCGATTGTGGGTGCTGTCGCCCTTGCGCCAGTTTGGCGCACACGCGTATGCGCCTGCCTACAAGCAGCCCTTGAAGCCGGAAGCACGAATCCAGCAGCATACAGCATAAAGTAACAAAGTGTGGATATCGAAAAGCAAAACTCCAAAACTAAGTTTCAAGCGCTTGAAACGCCCATGAACACAAACCTTACCTCCCCAAGAGAAGTGGTGCACTGGAAGCATGACAGACTTGTCTCTCCATGAATCTGGCCCTCCAGCCTAAGAAGAGCGTGTCATCCACCTTCCCACGGCCCAAGCAAGAGAGGCACAAAGACACGAAAGAACATTTCTGGAAGCTCAGGCAAGGCTGGAATAACAAGGCCACAAGTGGTCATGGCGGTGGATCTGCAAAGTAGACACGCCAAACAAGGCTCTGCAAGAACTTGTCAAACGTGCTGGAACGGGAAGTGCGGTGAGCACAAGAAAGTAAATCAGAGCTTGAGATAGCTTGAGCATAGGACCCTGCGCTGCCACGCAGTCTGTTGAGCACTTGCGGCTTCCCCGCCTTGCACCACAGCCCGCGACCGTCGGCCCAACTGCGTAGCAGCGTCAGCGGCATCGTTGGCCAGAAAAGCCACCGGCACACGAACTGGGCAAGGGGAGGCAATACTCCCAGAGACCCAGTAGGCAATTATATGCTCGCTTCCTCCACCACATGCTTTTTGCGGCTTGGCAGTTTCTAGCCACGGCAATCCAGATGTCCAAGCTGAGCAAGAGTTACAGGTGAAATCCTAACCTTGCTTCACAACAGCGCCATGTTTCAGGCTGTCCTAGCTGTAGACTTCTCAAACAGGCACAAGGCTTCCTGACCCATCAAAACGCACTCCCGTCCTTGGCCACGAGCTTGGGCAGGTACTTCTTGAAAACAAACTTAGTTGCCAACGCGCCCGCGAGCCGTACATGGCAGAATCCCGGGGAGGGATTCGTCAAAGTCAAGATCAAACATTCAAAAAAGTCGAGGTGTGCGAACTCGCAAACTTCGTGCAAATGGCATCTGCGACTGAGATGACTGAGGCAGCCACAAGGCCAAGAATGCCCAGCAGGCACCAGAACAACAGCCGTGATGGCCTGCCTGAAAGCACTGAGACTTGGCACACGCGAGCCTGAATGACGGAAGCTCCTTGTCCAGCCCTTCTTCCAACAATCGTGAAAAGTTCATTCTGGAAGACTACTTTGCTTTTGGGGAACTCCCCTGTTCAATTCTATGATTGTTGGAAGGAAGGTAATTGGTTCCGCTACAACGTGCCGTGACTTTCCTCTGTGGCCTGTGACAATGTCCCACTACGCGCCTATTGGCAGAAGCCGGGAACTCTGCACAAGCACCTGACAAGGCCAACACTTGAGACTTCAGCTTTTGCACACCCTTTGGACGGACAATGCATGCGATGCATGAATCTCTGTCATGCCTACTTTTGGCTGCATCCAAGTGAGCAAAAGCAGCCCTAAGGCGTCCAGGCAGCGGGATGGACTGCAGCCAGTCCTTTTTGTGAGCTTGTCAACGTCTGTGAATATTCAAGGGGTTTTGGGATTCCTTCCGAACGCCCCAGCCATCACTCCGGCCACCGAAACGACAAAAGGCATGCAGCTTTTTGAGCTCATGCAGTTAGGTCGCAACCCCTGCGCCCAACCAACCAAATTTGGACTTGCGCACCACCGGAACCAAGAAGAAAACAAAAAGTGCCCTTTGATTGCTTGCATTAACCCCCCCCCCCCCGCACCCCTTTTGGTACAAAAGATTGCATGAATACACCCGGCCAACCCAAGCCCAATCAATCCGCCTCAGGCCACTGGTCAATGGGCTCCAGAGGCGATCCCTGGCCTCGGAGCTTCGGGCTGTCGCGTTGACGGAGCTTTGGCCGGGCTCAACTGGAGTCTTGGCTCGCAAAGGCCTACGACATAAACCCTCAACCGAGCAAGGTAGAAACAGAGCACGGGGAGCTCAGAGAAAGTTAGCCTGCCACGTGAAGGCCCTCCTTTCTGCTTGCAAAGTCTTCCTCTGAGCCCAGTTCTTGCACTAACCTCTCCTGACAAAAGCCCGACTCTGACCATGTCTTCAGCCTTGGCGGTATGTGCGAGAAAAGGGGGCGGCCACGAAACTGAGCTGCGAATGCCTACGCGAATGCCTACGCGGGGCCAACGCTGAGCCTACGCGAAAACCGGTTGAAATCGAGGCTCCGCTTAGCACGGAACCTGACAGGGGGGTCCCTTTTGAAAAGGAAACTGGTCTGCCAGGACCCCCGAACCTCAGGTGGAATGGGAGGGTAAGAGTCTAGCATCATTTGGCCGGCGCCCACTCGCCAACAACAGGTTTGGGGCACGGGGACGTAAAAAAAAAGCCGCCGGAAGACTTCGCCGAAATCGGCCGGCCACGGGCTCCCGGTCTTGTCGTGAAAGTTGGCGAGCCCTCCATCGCAAGAGATGGCCCTAGCTATGCTCCAGCTGCGCCCCTTGGTTGAGATGAATGGGTCGCAGCCTTTGGTGTCCACTTTGGCCATCTGGACCAAAATGATCTCCTGATGCTCTGCTTGAGTTGCAAATGTCTGCCGCATCGGTTCATGGTGCAAGGCTGAAGCCAGAACGTCCAACATGGCATCTGGGGGCGTGCGACTCATGTGAGGGACACTAATGAGCGCATGACTCAAACTGCTCTGCCTTAGCGGGCTCCCTTCCATGTGCTAACATGTCTCCCCTCATGGACAGGTGAGACGTTAACAGGGTGCCAAGTGTATGGGCTACCAGCTTCGCGAACCGAGTTCACGCAGCGTCCGGCGCTGAGGAACACAAACAAAGACCCGAGATGGATACCGGCCTTGCAGGACAACTGGCTTGACTTCATGCATGGCAAAGTTATTTGAAGTGGTCAAGAAACATCCCGTCAAAGAATGTCTTTGGTGCCAGCGGCCTTGGCAACCGATTTGACACTGCTTCTTACTGGAAAATATTGTCCTTGCATGGAGCATGGAATCTGCCAAGCTACTCCGCATGCTCAGAACTGGAGAAATTACCTTCCCCCCCCCCATAACCTCCCGCAGTTCTGCGGCGTAGTCTGCCAGCTCTGGTAGACCCATCAACTCCTGGCGCTGTTTCATGCGTCGAGAACAGGTCCGAGGGGTCGCGTTTCCAGCCCACCGAAAGTGAAGAGCTGGCCTTGCAACTCAACGAATCCTGGCGGTGTTGCTTTTGAGTTTCCCTTTGAACTCCCGAAAAAGGAAAAACCACACACCCAACTAGATGCAACCCAAGGGCCAAAGCAGCGAATCCAACTCCCCAGTCCCCAAAAGCAGGGAACAGCGGCACAAAATCAGTCGAATTGAGATGGAAGGCGCGCACATGCGACCCTCCGGAACGCCCGGGCCCAGAAACGCGTGTTTTTGGAAAACTGCGCTACGCCTCCTGAAACGACCAAAAACGGGCCCAGAGGTTGACTTGTCTTTGGCGCCTGCAAGTCGGGCAGTGCCAAAACGCTGTGTCCTTTCGGATCTAGCGCCTGGGCGAGTGAGAGACATGAAAGGAGAGGCTGAAGCCTCGGAGCGTTGGCATCATGGAAGTGATGTTCTAGAGCCACAATTTGTGCATGCCTCTAAAAAATTGGCTCTCTAAATCACATTACGTTCTAAGTTTGCAAATCTACGGGGCTGGTCCCTTTGACTCGTTTCAGAGTTCACCTCTTTCACCTGCTTTTTTTCTTGTTCCAGGTTCCACCTCTCGTCAAAACATCCACCAAGCCTGGAAGTGCTGCCAGGATTTCTCGATATCCGCCTGACAGAGGCCCCTCAGCCTATGAGAGCCACCACACCTTGGAGAATGGCATTTTTTGGAAGGGCCATTGTTGAAGCTTCGATAGTGGCCCCGGCAAGGTCCATTCCTACCAGTCGGCATGAGATGACTCAGGTGTGCATCCGTGCCTGGCCCACTTGCATCGCGACTGCCCGCAATGCCGCCTATCAGCAAAGAGAGTCGGAATTTGCACGCTTTTGATCAAACACTTTTTTGCTGCCAGATTTCCTTATGTAACAAAATATCCAACACATGGCCGATGGGGTGGCAGAGATTCAGAGACTTGCCACAAACGGCCCTTGTCAACACGTCGAGGCGAAACATGGGACGCAAATGTTTCAGACCTGATCCCTGGCATCAATCTGGCACACGCTACAAAGGACTATGTGAACTGACTTGGCAAACCGCGGCATTTTGCACACCTGAACCCAAAACAGCAAACATGTGGCAAAACCATTTCAAGATAGGATCCTGCGAGTGTCGGCGATGAAACCCATGACATGCCCTGTTAGGATAAGGCAGCAAGTTTCCATCACTAGCCTTTCCACTACTAAACCTGAGCACCGAATTTCTACCTCCCCCCCCCGGGGCTGAAATATGTGCCCTATCTTGAACCCCAAATCCAGTGGACATTGAACTTCATTTTTCTTAACCTACAAGGGGAGGAAAGATGTGATCCCCCCTCTTGGTTGCCGTTGACCCCCCTGCAAAAAGTTTAACTTTTTGGGGGTTTAGTAGAAAACACCTTTATTTGCCGAAAACTTAAACTCTAAAACTCCGACCCAGTAGCAGTCAAGCCCTGGACGACCCAGTCCCAGCACAAGCTTTGAGCTCGCGGCTCGCTGAAAATAGCTCCGTTTGGAGAAGCGCAGCAGGTCCTTGGACAGCGACTCGAGCCGCTGGGACCGACTCGCGGCAATTGGAAAAGGAGGAATCCCCCTCTCTGGACATGTCCTCTCTGGTCCACGCATGAAGGCGCCCACAAAGGAACCACCCAATGATGGCGTCCCCGTGAATTCCCTTTAAAACAACCTTAAAAAGCCCTGTGAGTTCCCTTTTAACACAAGCTTACAAGGGCACTCCTAAAAAAATACCGGTGAATACCTTCAAAACTAGTTGAACGCGAACCCCCTTGCATCTCTGACATCCAACAAAAATTCGACCGCTCTAACTTCTGAAGGGTGGAATGTGGCCAACCCCGAAGGGCACGTATATATATATATATATATACATATATATATATACATATATATATATGTGTGGAGAAAGAAAACTGGGCACTGACGCCTTGCCTTCAACCCCCCGAGGCACGCGTCACTTCTCACCTCAACTCACGCGGCCGCCGACGCCGGGCCGGGGCGCTGGGACCACAAAGGCCTGGAGGGCGGGTCTGGCGCGGAGCTCCGGCGCCGCGGCGGTGAACCACTCGTGGACCCGCGCCTGAAACCGGCCACCGCGGCTCGGCAGCCCTCCAATTCTCTCTCTCTGCCGCATCGGTAAGCCGTCCACCAAAAAAAAGGAGGGAAGCACCAGGTGGTGGGTTGGAGCCGAGTCGGTGATTGGTGGCTTGGTGGGGAGGCTTCCCATTTTCTTCTCTATAAGAACCAGTTGGGGGGTTTTGAGGAGGTTTCCCAAAAGACCCTCTACAAGATCCAGTCAGCGGCAACCCTCGAGGGTAGAGCTGGTTTGGCGGTGAAGCTGGGGAGGCTTCCCAGAAAACACTCTTGAAGGGACCCGTTCAAGTCCCGATCCAAACCAACCACTGATTAGGTGAAAGGTTGCAGTGCTATACTTTACCCCAAGGCAGACTTCAACCCAGGGGTTGATGTCCACAAAAGGCAAAACCCGAGGTTTCAGCTTACCTTGGGGTAGTCAAAAAGTGGAAATCGCTGGTTGGATGTACATGACGGTCTGAGCAAAGAATCTAACCTTTCGGAGGCCTGCAAAAGCCCCACCCTCGTTTCCACTCAATCTTTCGGAAACCCAAGGGGGAGGAAAAAACCACCCGCCGGGCTGATTTGGAGCCCCAGACCTCTCGGGTCTGCCCGGCGACACCGGCCTGCAAGGCCGTGCATCGGTCGAAGGGCTGAAACTTCAGCAGCTTCCGGATGAGGTCCTTGGCCTCCTGGGACCTCAAAACCGCCGGAGACTCACTCCGATGGCAGGGGGTGGGATCACAAGGGGTGTAGATCCAACCACTTCTGCGATACATCTTTTCAGAATCTCCCCCTAAAAAAATGGGGGAAGCGGGGTGGTTTGGTCTTTGGGAAGCTTTTTTCCCAGTTGTATCACAGAAGTGGGATCCATTTTCCCGCATGCCAAGACATGGAACCCGCGGCTATGGGCCTCCTGCCCCCATCAAGACTGGGCTGTCCTCACATCCCCTGCTAAAAGCTTAACTTGGAACCCCACACTAAACCCTAAAAGGCCAAAAAGCTAAGGGGACGGCTGGGGGCCACCAAGAAAAGCACAGCAAAGGCTGAAAGACTGCGCAAAGGCTAGCCTCGAGCAACCCAGTCTTTTGATGCCCGCTTTCTGCTGACAGGCGGCAGCCGCGTGACAAGCAAATATTAACACATAGAAATGCATAATGCATATTCACACAGAGCGCCCCAAACGGTGCATTCACACAAAGGCGCGCATTCGGTGACGGCTTGGGAAGATCTCTTGCTTTGGCTCAGTGCAAACTGAATCTGCAGCATCGAAAGGACTTTGCCAGTGTCATCCTGTGTCCATTGCTTTCGCTGCGGCGCGAAGCACAGCGTGACTGTTGAAATTGAATTCTCCATGGGCGGCACGCGAATTCGGCGCATCCAAGGTAACCGGTTCTCGCTGGCCCAGCGGTAAGTTTGAGCGCAATGCTTGCACAGAGTCATCTCGCAAAGGTGCGCCTAGAGTCCTCCAGTTAACGAACTCTCGAGATCCAGACCTTTATGCAGTGTGGGGTCCCTTTGTCTGGGTAAATTATGTAAAAATGTATTCATGCATATGTGTGTATTCATATTTGTATATATATATATATGTGTGTGTGTGTATCAGGTACCCATCTACATGTGAATGTACCTGTACAATGTAAAGGTGAACACTAGTGTGTGCACGCCTTTAGGCTGCAAACTGCAAACAAGAAGGTGTGATAAATGACGGGGTTTTGAGGCTAGCGATCCCTGAAAGAAGACCTCCACAGCTGGGCAACAGCCTGGGAGCCCGCGCACAGATGACCAGATCGTGTCACTAAAAGCGTAGTTGCCCTTTCGGACACGCTGTGCCACCTGTCACATGGCCCGAAAATGCTTCTTTCATGGCCATGATTGGCCATGCCAAAGCATCCCCTCAGCCAAAGCACCGGGCAAACGCTGGGATCCAAGCAGAGCCTTTCCCACGCGCAACCGGGGACATCAAAAAACAAGCAAGTGACAGCTAAGCCGATGCCGGTTTCTCGCCCGGCCAAACATTTTGAAAAACTCCTCCAACATGGACAAAATATGCTTTTGTGCCGTTCCCCATTTCTCCTTGGCCAAATGCAAAACCAGCCCCGGTGAATTGACAAGAAGCTAGTGCCGGACTTCTCCTCAATAGGCATTTGCATGATGCTAAGCCATCTTAGTGGATTTGGGTAGGGCGCATCCTAAATTGCAGACACAACCAATTCAAACAACACACTTGCTAAAATGTGTGACATGCATGCTGTCAAAGAACCAAGCAGGATGCCAATCCCCGTCCTTCTCAAAAGCGCTCCGCGATACAATTCCACGTTTCAAGGATCGCCCAAGGTTATGAGAGGGGAGATGCAGCAGCACAGCAAACGCCTCTGGCCCTGACGGCTGGCGGGCCGGGCATTTTGAATTATCGGAAAGTCGACTGATCCGACCATAGCATACAACTTCTGCAACGCAGAGCCAATCCGTGTTAGCATGTGCAAATTGTGTTGGCTTGAAATGCACCTGCCCGCATGCTTTCGCTGACATGTCCCTTGACCATTGCATATATGTATAATAATAATAATAATAATAATAATAATAATAATAATAATAATAATAATAATAATAAAAATAATAATAATAACAATAACAATAATAATAATAATAATAATAATAATAATAATAAATATAAATAATAATAATAATAATAATAATAATAATAATAATAATAATAATAATAATAATAATAATAATAATAATAATAATAATAATAATATAATAATAATAATAATAATAATAACAATAATAATAATAATGATGATAATAATAATATACATATATATATATATGCAGGTGCCTCATTTTCCGGGTGGGACCTTTTGCCTGCACCTCTTCTCACCAAAACTGGTCCCCACCTCCGCATCATTCTTGCCGGGGAAGGGTGGATCTTCGCCGAGGAGCATCTGAGTCGACATCAACTCAACCGCCAAATCTAGAATGCCAGTCACCTCATCATGTGGCCTCGTTTTCGTCTACCTTACCCCCAACAAATACCCATGCAGGCAACAACCAACAAGTACGCCGTCCAAGCAGATTCAATCAGGAGCCCAGCTGCAAAACCAATTGCAAGTCCCGCCTTTCTCACGAAAGTCTTGGAGGTGCAAGTGAAGCGACTTGTGACTTGTGTTATCTGCAGGCTACCCCAAATTCTGGGACCCTTTACTGCCCATCATACTGCCCCAATGGCTGAACGACTAAGCGCAACTGTGGCTACCAGGCCTTTTGACAACCCGAGGCCCTGGCATACATGATGACCCCGCAGCTCCACAAATCCGCCGAACGGTCATACACACCTCCCAGAACCTGAGGCACAGACCCTGGACTGAGAAACCCTGTGTCCAAAAGTCTTGGTGAAAAAGACGCAGGGAATGAGAAAAAGAACGACCCTAGGAAAAACCAAACCCAACTGGCGGTTTCCTTTTTTTCGGGGGCCAAAGCAACAGGGTTCATTCCCACATCCCCTACCGACTTCGCAAGAAGAACCAGACCAGGCTTGCCGTATTTCGGACCAGCCTGGGGTGAGCAGTAGAGGACAGTGCCCACCTTACTGCTGAGCACCTGGCCCAGATTGCAGGATTTTGTGCGCTCAAAATTCCGCCCACATGGATCCCCTGATCTGAGGGTTCTTGTATTACAACCTGGGATTGCAGCCTTGGGAAATGACCTAGAATGGTTAAACAACACGGTTTTATCCAGAATGTGCCTAAATGGGGTCAATACCCAGTGGGTGTGTTCCCAGGGTGTAAAAAAACAAAAAACAAAAAACGTAGACCTGATCCCCACATGTTCCATGCCCAAAAAGGAACCCAAGTGATCGGCGCACAACACTGATCTATTTTTTTCCGGGCTCTTCAGTTGGAGCGGCGGCCAGGTTTTTTCTTATATCTGAAGCTGACTGGCATGGAATGAATGCCAACTTTTTTTGACTTAGCCCCATACCTCACTCCCTGCTTTTTCTGTCTCCAGTCTCCCACAAGCAGAAGCTGCGAAGCTGCCTGTCCCGGCTGAAAGCTGCAGGCCAGACCGAAGTCCGCCAGCTTCAGCACGTTGCTCTCCACCGGCGCCTCCGGAAGCCGTCCGGAGCCGTCGATTTGGATGGGCATGGCAGGTGGGTACCCGTCCGTTTCCAGTGGGCACCTCACAGGGGGTTCCGATTTAGGAGACTCTGATCTTGCAGGTACACTCCAGGTGCTATGTTTGTTACACGGTTGGAGGAAGGGGACCCACTTCTTTCACTTTTCTCTATTTTAGGGGAACCCTCCCAACCAAAAGAGGGGTGAGAAGGGCACCTAGCTGGGGGACCTGGTTGGGGCATGTCATGAAGTGGGTAAGCCCCAGGAGAAAACCGAGCGCGTTGGCCCAAACGTCGGCTTTGTCGTGTTGCATTTGGCTGCGCAATGCACTGCACTTGTTCCCATTGCGCCGCCCTCTCAGCTCGTACCGCGCAACAAAGCCTGGGCGCGAGCATCACAAAGGAGCCAAGGACCTGTGAGGCACCAAAAATGTAGCCAAGATGGCTGTGGCTCAACAAACCTGTACCACAATGAAACCCTGGTAAGCGGAAACATGGACCAAAACCTGCGTAGCCCCTCCTGTCTAATTTTGAGCCACACCCAGAAGAAAACTCGGCGGATTTTTAAGGACGCATGGCAGGGATCCCACCCTTGCCATGAGGGCCGGGTCTCCCGCGCTGGGAATCCCCGGCGGTCAGGTACGGATGGAGCGAAGACCTCTGAGGGAACCTCTGCTCCCAACCCGCAAAGGATGGCCGATGCCGGAAAGCTCCGCCTCTCGGAGGAAGAGGAAGTTCGGCAGCTTCAGGTCCCGATGGCCTCAGGCCAGGCTTTCTCCCGATCGGGAAGGTCCCAGGAGTAATACATCCGTCCCAGTATTAGGGAGTTCCCTCCAACAGTGGCCTGAATGAATCCCCACCAAAGGGGGACACCCCCCCTATTAATCCGGGTTTATTAATCCGGGGGTTGCTTTACATGGAAAAAACGCAAAAACATCTGCGGTCCATATGCTGGTGACTCGTTTTGACTCAGACCCAGGTCAAGCTATCTGGTTATCTTGGTGGTGACTAGTTTTGAGGTCAAGAGTCACCGCTAGCCAAGTAAAAACTGACTTTCATCGACGATCTTGCCCAACCAAACCCCACACTCTTGGAACACCCGCATCAAGTCCCAACCTTCCAGCTTTCGAAGGAGGCGAAGAATTCCCACGGCAAGGCACAAATACCTTTGCAGTCGTGCAGGTAGGACACCTGGGCTCGTCCGAGTGCGGCTACGGCGCTGATGGCTTTGTTCCGAGACACACGGAGCATTCCTTCCAGAAGCGGCCCGATTGCAAACGGGCCAAGGGAAAAGGTGAACCGTAAGAACTGCGTGAAAAACTGGCCAGGGGAGGCAAACAAAAGCGGGACTTGTGTGCAACCAAGGGGCGGATTTCAGAATCTGCTCCATCAAGATTGCCGCCTACAAGCACATGCGCAAAGGAACCGCGGCCAACAAGCCGGCCACGCATCAGCGCTCACCCCGACCAGGGGCGACTAATTATTCCTTTGAACTCACAGCGGAGTCCCCTTTTCCCCAAGGAAATGGGGAAGATGAGTCCCCTATGCAGAAGCCCGTTCTCACGGCCCAAAACCAATTAGCCCAATTCCTGAACAGGAGTGAGCCACAAGATTTCCATCACCGCCCGGGCAAGCCACGCCTGGTGTTCGCTGTAGGGCCGGCCCTGGCGTTGCATGTGCATCCCCAGGTCGCCTCCCGCGCAAAGCTCCAAGACCTCGCCGCGATCGATCCAGCGCGAAGCAGGCACCTCCTTGAAGACTTCTCAGGGGGCCATGAACCGAGCTCTCATCAACGAGTCCCGGCTGGAAAACCACAGGAGACAAAAACAAACATCTGTGGCATTCCAGAACCCCTTGGCCAGAACCCAATAAAGGGTCACCAGATAGCGAAGCCTTGTGAGAAAAGCCGTGATACCGTCCGTCAGAATGGCAAAGCAGAATCTTCAGAGTCTTCCAATGAACCCTCTTGCGTGTGGCTGTGGCTTGCCAGGATGCCTGGGAGCTTCTTGGGGCTTTCTCTGTTGCAGATTTTTCCTTCACCCAAGGCGGCTGCATTCACTCTGTCAGCAACCGGCAAACACAGGCAACTCGCCCGAACATGTGGCCATGGGTCAGAAACCCGTACCCCCAGTGAATATCCCAATCCCTACAAAAAATAGACTAAAATGAGTGGTGCACCTACCCCAAAATTGGATCCCATTGGTTTTGACCCACAGCCATGTGCCTCATGGGAAATGTCCGCCTCAAGCTGCGGGAGTGTCCTAAAGCCCTGGGCATAGCAGATCTGCTGTCCACACCGAGGGCACGACCAGGTAGATGTGCCCCTTGTCTTCGAAGGTTTCGTGCAAAGCTACCACATTCGGATGGTCTGTCCTGAGCAACGGAAGAGACACCAGTCAACACTCACGTCTGGTCTAGCCACATCTCCATCTTCAATTTACCCTCCCTCCAACTAACATGGCAACTGACAGAGGCTCCCTTCACAAGGAAATGAATCTTCCAGGTACCACCCCACAGGTGCCATGTTAGTTGGAGGTAGTTTGTTAAAAGCACAGGGGAAAGAGTGGATTGAGATTGCCTCTCAAAGAGAGGCCTCGCGTTTGCCGTATTAAAAGCAGCCTCTCCCACGTGCAGTTGCCCGCAAGCTGACGCTTCATGGGGCCGCGGCAGCTTCATGACATCAATCTCGCTGCGGACCTGCACTCTCCTCATCTTTGCTTTGGCCTCCAATGGCTCCCAATGGCAAGGAGCTTGCAACACACAGAGAGAGAAAACCAGCTGCCAAAAGCAACAGGTGCTGACCCCAAACCACCGAGACTCCTCCGTCTCTGCTTGGGTTCCTCTCGAAAGTCGACTTCTAGTCGCGAAGTCGCGAAGTCGCCTTGGACACCTTCTTCATGGCGTAGCGGTTCCCAGTCTCCAGGCTCTTGCCCTCGACCGAAAAAACCGGGCGACGGGCGGTGTTCGCGGCCGGAAAGCCGTGCCACTTGAAAGGGCTCGGCAAGTGGCTTGCGACAAAGGATTCAGCCCCCTCGAAAGGCTGAAGCAGAGAGAGAGAGAGAGAGAAAAAAAAAAAAAAAGAAAAAGAAAAAAAAGCGAGAGAGGGAGAGAGAAAGAAAGAGAGTAGCTGACTTGAGTTCCCCTCTCTTTTCCCACAACCTGAGTTGCTTGACATGATGCAGTGGCACCCCTTTTGCGCCCGCGCCTCCGTAACAAACCCAAAGCCGCCCTCTCCCAGCTTCTTCCCACTCAGCTGGTAGGACGTCTTGACGTCGCCTGAAACGCATCGTCGGTGCATGCGCTCCGACGGAAGCAAATGGGGAGCTGTTCCGAGGCAATGGAAACTTCCCAGCAGCTCTCAAATGGAAGCTCCAGCAGTACGAAATCCAATGGAAACATGGACCGAAGCTATCTCTTCACTTGGTTGGCGAGGGGGAGACTCACATGCCAGACAAGCGAAGCGTCGGAGACTGGAAGGGCATCAACGTGAGCTGCAGAAACCGACTTCGCTGGCACGCGCTTTTCCCAGACTAACAAACCAGGCTGCGCAAGGGAAAAATCAGGTTGGAGCCACTTTGCGACGCGCACTCCTGCCCATGGATGACATAGGTTTCGTGTTTGCCGCTATGCTGGTCAGATAGGAATGAATAGTAATAATAGTAGTTGAGTGTGGTTGACACCGAAATGTTTATGACAAATACATGAAGATCATCAAACAAAACACGTGCGAGAATACTTGTGAAAGTGAAAGCTGGCACGGTTTCCCGGCAAAGAGTCGCACGTAAGAATCGAAGCCTCTACTTCGTTTGCCACCAACCCGAGCACCCTACCCCACCGAAGTTGCCAGATTTTGAGGTCATACTACTTTTTGCTGAGGCCGCGTGTTGTTGCCGCTGGCCGTAGTCGCTCACTTGCAGCTAAGCAACCATAGGTGTGAAGAATCAGGTGGTTTATCCTGGCGCGCAGAGAACGATCAGACAGAGGAGCTGGCCTTATGTGACCCTCATGTGACAACGTCGGCCGCCTTGGCTAGCACGAAACTGTCCCTGTGTGGAAGGATATTGGTGTCAAAGAACTCCTGCCAACTACCGCAACTTCACCAGCCATGCCCGGCATGTTTTGGAGCCGTGTCATGATGGACCCCTTACAGGTGATTCATTCTCTGACATGTACAAAACACTTTTTCGGGGTTTACTGGCTGGATCTTCGGCACACCTATCAGAGGCCCGCTTCGGTCCTGCTGCTAAACTCTGTGGATACGTCTGCCCAGTGCTTGAACGCCTCGTGCACAGATTGACCCACCGAAAAATGTGGCTAGGCTTCCAGGTTGACATTTTAATCTCAACGGAACAACAGCTCTTGATTTATTTATTTTTATTTTTTATGAATGTACTTGGGCAACATCCAGATTGCCGCCTTGCTCATATCTGCCAGCGTGCTCCTTATGCTTGGGTCCGTCCAGCCAAAAACAAAACTGTTCCTGCTGTCGCTGAGGCCGTCCTTCTACCTGCCAGGCCATAACAGTTTGAGAACATCTGCTCACTCAGGTAACCTGGGCCGTTGAGCATTTCTGCACACAAGTCCTGCACTCCCAAAGGTGGCAATACACTTGCCGTTTGACGTGGGGCACGGCTTCCACACCACCTAAGGAAAGGACATCATCCTCATCTGACGCGCCAGACTCCGACCTGAACACCGGAAAGCGCTCCACAAAACCAACCCATTTCCTTTCTTGTCAGCACACCCGGCATTGGAGCCAACAACTAGGTCCAAGGCTCATATAGTCCGCCAAAACAGAACTGCAAAAGTGGTGGCTTTTGTGAACGTCTATCGTTGCTGAAAATTCAATGCGACAACCGAATATGGATTGAACTTCAATGCCGCTTGAACATGCCAAGCCGTTTCACTTCTACCTCGGCTAAGGGCAGGGGCCTACGTTTCCCGGAGCAGCTTGCTTGGCCCAAAATGGAGGAGTACAATACGAGCCGTGGTCCAATTGAAATGTATGGCACTCGAGGCAGCAAGGCCCGCCCCCCCCCCCAATTGGGAGCTCCCGTGCGATGCCCAGCATCCCGCTCAGGCATCAGCTCGTCCAGGATATCGGTTGACCTTAGACGGGTCGCCTGGGATTCCTACCCCACAATCGTTACGAGCAATCTTACCAACCCTGATCTGTACATAGGCGTGTCTGTTTTTAGTGGACCCCTGCAACATGGTGGCTGTCCTAGGATAAGAATCAACCGACATGGGTTCCCCCCCCCCAAAAAAAAAAAAAGACAGGCCCACATGGAAAGACGCAAGCAATCCGTGGACTCTGTGCCGCACCCAGTTGGTCGCGATGGAGTGCTGCTGCATGCCGCAGCCTGCAAATCACTGCCATCAAAACCAGGGGTGGTTCCACGTGCGCACGCGTTGATCTAAAGCTGCTCATTTCTGCTCATTTCTGCTGTAAGCTTCAGTGTGCCTCTGGCAGACAAATGAACATATATTATAATATGAACCTCACAAGCGTGTGCTTGTGAGAAAGTAGCGACATGCCACTTGTGCTGTTTAAGCCCAGCTTAGGACCAACAACAGCACGGGGTCGTTGCGGTGTCGCAAGGTTCATTTCTTGCCTCCGGCATTCACAGCCTCTTGCTTGTTGGACAATGCAAAATGATTGTTGGCTTCCCGGGGTTCACAGGTAACAAGGGTCCCGCACGATTCAGGCTTGGGCGAATCCGATTCCTCATGCGACTGATCCCCCGGCGCCTTTCGTTCAGCAGCCAAATCGGCTCGGGCAGCCTGGCTCAGCATGCCCCGCTGACGCGCAAGGCCGGAGATCTTCGGACATCATCCACATCACGGAAAGTGGTCAAATCCGTCCTTGTGCCCTGGAGACGTCGATCGAGCAAGACTGTCCCAAAGCCCCCGTTGCCTGTGACCCGCAGAGACCCATGACACCTGGCAATGCGCGGAGTTTCTTTGGGACTCCGAGGCGCTTCAAGAAACAACCTTTGCCCTTGGCCGATCGGCCTGACCACAACACCTCTGGTTGAAGCCGTGCCTTCTACGACACAGAGAGGGAGAGAGAGCATGGCTGACTTTTGCCACCAAAAACCACCAAGTCCACAACAACTGGCTGCAACAATGCATTCACGGCAGTAGGCGCTGGGTGTGGCCGCAAGTCAAAAAAAGAAGCTCGAAGAAAACGGGAAATCCAGGGGGACCCCCTCCCATCGACCCTTCCCATGGGGAAGTTTCCCGGTGAGGAATTTCTCCGTCGCCTCGTGGCCATAGGGCCAACCGCAGCTCCGGTTTGAGCCGCACGCGGCGGGATTTTTACCGAAGATCCGGCAGCGCCAGCGGCAAAAGGCGCTGGGCCTTCCGAGGTGTGGGACATCTTGGTTCACACATTTGTGCTGAGGAAGTGACATGCCGGGCCTTCCAAGTTGTGGAAAACTTTGGTCCAGAAAATTTGTGCTGTTGAGAAAGTGGCATGGCTTGCCGGCCACATGATGCAGAAAGAAGAAGCAGCAGTTGCTGAATCGAAAGCCGACATGGCACCTTGCCACTTGAAGAAAAAGGGCATACCCAACCTGACAAGGGGGTTTTGTTTTGAGAGGAAAATGACAGTTTAGACGCGCTTTTTGTGGATTTCACCTGTTCTTCAACCGGTTGCTTCTTGTTTAGTCATCTTTTGGATCCTCAAAAGCGACACGCAGTTTTCCAGATATATCCCCCCCCCCCTCCCTACCACGGCCGGATTCTTTTGCTCCAGCCCAGGCTATACCCATTCACCTGGACGGGCATCAGGGGGTAGGGGGCCTGGCGCGCGGCAGCTGGCATGAGCCTTCGCGAAAAACAACAACTAGTCGCAAGGCTGGCTGGCTGGCTCCCCTAGCTCGCCATCGGAAATTATATATATATATATATGTGTGTGTGTGTGGTTGTACAGCTGTATGTACGTATATTTATGTGTGTTAATATACATGTATACATTATACATATAAATATGTATTATGATAACTCCAAGCGCTGACCAGAACAAAAATAGTTATCTGGTTCTTCCCTCGGTGGCATGCACGGAAAAATGTCAGAGGCAACAGTGCCCTCTTTCACTTGAAAGCTACAACTTGTATTTCAAACACCATCACTGCTCAAACCTTTGAAAAAAAGGCTTTCTGTGGATGGGTTTTGAATAGGGGTTGCGCGACTCGTTCAGAACCGCGCTCTCCGGCAGGGGCATGGGTTGCCGCAATGTGTTGGGCCATCTTGCCTGGTTTCCTCAAAGACGGCCCGGCGGCCTACAGCAACAAGAACCTGTGCGTCGGCAAACGTTGCTCCAATGCCTGCGGTGCTGGGAGGCGCCGCCAATTCCTGCGCTTCCGTCAGATTGGCTGAGGACCCGTCCCTTAGCGGCACACTCGGTCGATGTGGGCAAAGCGCATGTCGCCTTTCAACGGCAGAGGCGCACGCATGGAGACTTGCGCACGCCTAAAACAAGTCATGATCATTGTCGCTTCCATCTCTCAAACAGGTGGCCCTTAGCTCATTCGCAGGGAAAAAAAGTGGTCTGAAAGGAGGCTTTAGTTGTGACTTCATGTGCTTGACGCGCCCCGGTTCCCTATGGAAGCAGAGACGCAAGCCTGCTCGCGCTGAGCAAGCAGAAGTTCACACACCTGTGCGCGCGCCCTTCTCTGCGCTTGTCTCTGCGCACGTCTGCACGTGTCTGCGCGTGTCTGCGCGTCTGCGCGTGTCTGTTTTTGCCTGTGTGCGTGTGTGCCTGCGCTTGTCCTTGCGTCTGCGCGGGTCTACGCGCATCACGGTCCGCACGAATCAGCTCGGGCATGCTGCGCATGTCTTCACCTGTCTGCGTGTGCCTCTTCGCGTCTGCGCCTGTCTGGTCTGCGCTTGACCGCACTTTCTGCGTACGGGCGACGTGTCTGCTGTTGTCTGCGCATCCCCGTACCTTGCATGCCGTTGAATTTCCCTGCATACATCAGGTTTCACTCGACCGCATGTTTGTTTGAGTCCGGAGGGCGTGATGGAAACATGCCACTGTACTCGGTTGGCCGTCGCTGAGATGCTGGCTTCGCGGGTAGAAATCCAAGGGCAGGGAAATACCACGGGCGAGTGTAACTAAGTTTCGAATGAGCCACTCACTGGCGTAGTAGTGGCTTGCAAAACGGAAGCTGCGAGCGCGTATCGCGCTGTTTTAGTGCCGCAGCAACGGGCTTGATTTTCGTGAAGCTGACTTTCGGCAAAGAGCGTTGCGACAAGAGCAGCCGAGCAACTTCCCCCAAATCTAGCTGGATAAATCCAGATGAAGTTGAGATTGGCAAGGAGGGCGTGGGAATCGTTCGCAAGCTATTTCTCTTGGTGGCCAGATGCCGCTCTTGCATTCCACTTGTTATGCATGTCCTAGTGGCTACCCCGTGTACCTGCCTGTGCTTCTGTCTGTCTGTGCTTGTATGTGCGGGTCTGTGCGTGCCCGTGGCGTGTCAGGAGCGAGGCTCCCTGCGCGGTCCGGCAACGAATCTCAGCCCCGGGCGCATCCTCCTCTTTCCGAGCTGCGATTTGAGCCTGTCAAAACCCAGTATTAAAATGGTCGATCCCCCGGAACCATGGAAAGATTTACCAAGGTGGGTATCCGCACCCATTTGTGGCTGGGATTCTCCCTTACCTTCCAATTTCCCCGGTTTTGATTGTGACTCAGATGCAGCACACTCAAGAGAGGGTCAGGCGCGCGATTCCGCCCGCTCCTGTCGGTGCATTTGCCGCTCGCCCAAGTCCAGCAAGAACCTAGGACCGCCCACACGCGCCAGCTGCGGGGCGGCACCCACCCTCACAGTGTCAGTTCCAGCCTCCGGTCACAGAGCACGTGAACAGCAAAACGGCATGAGCACCCTCCCAGGAAGCATGACTACCGATTTGGGACAAAAAGGCAGCAAGACAGTAAGATGCAGTAAGCAGTGCACAGCCAGCTTGCCACCCGCGGTCTCTGGCGACCGTGGCTCTTGGTTCGGTCGTTCTTGAAGCTTCCCCCCCCCCCCCCCACACCCTTCACTCGGGTGACATCAGGCGCCACACGGACACCCAAGCTCCACGTCCATGTCCTCGTCAAGATCACGAAGATCCTGAACGGCCGGCTCGGCACCAGGAAGGAGAGCAGGTTGCCGAGCATGCTATTTTACGGCATTCGAAAATAATGTGACAGCTGTGGTTTGTTGCCGCGCTAAAAGGTTTCCCCTTCTCAACCGCAAAGGATTTCGGGATACAAGAAGGCCAACTCCGGAAAGGAAGGGTAAGCAAGCCCTCCACTTTGATCCGGTCAGGCACGTGTCCATTTGCGATCAATATTGGCACGCCTCCGCCCTACATCCACACAGTCAACGGGCTTTTCCCACAAAATCAGCTGCACCATTGTGTGCGTGTGTGTGTGTGTGCGCCAACAAAAACCGCAACCATTGGCCCGAAGCTCTCGTCGGTCCTCGGGCGTGAACTCTACATCAAAGTTGTTGGCCTGGCCGAGTAGCCGGCGAAATGCGACTAATGGTGACGGCTTATGCTGGAAGCCGATTCGCCGACAGGTGCCATGGGCAGTACTAAAGCGGTACCCAGCTGCACCTTCAACACCACAGCATGTTGACAGCTGGCTCCCGTGAATAACCCTGAAAAAGGGAATCCATCACTTGGAATACTAGCCTCTTCGCAATTGCCTTGTCGCGGTCGAAGAAGGATAGCATCGAATGTAGCAAAAGGTCATAGGAGGAGGCGGTGGTGGTGGTGGCGGCGGCGGCGGCGGCGGCGGTGGTGGTGGTGGTGGGTGGTGCGGCTACCGAATGCTTCAACCGATCAAGAGCACTCATATCCCGGACTGCTTTTTCCAAAACTCCCATGCCGGGCTCGCAGAAATGCCCGGGTACACGGAGTCGGTCTTTGGGAAGCCACCTGATGTTCAGCTGCTGAGGCAGACCCCACTTCCCGGTTGCATGTCAACTCAAGGGCTGCCGACCGCGGAGAAGGAGGAATTTGCCGGTTGCTCGAGCGAAATCCATTTCAGTGGGCTGGCGGGGGGCGGTGTTTGGTGCGTAAGAGCATTGACTGAAGTGTACAAGCAGCCTGGCTCACATGTTTTGCCTGCAACACGTGTCTCGCCACTTGCGTTGGGGCTGCTTCCAGGGCGCTCTCTCTCTCTCTCTCTCCCTCTCTCTCGCGCTCTGTCTTGCAACCATCCGTGCAGAATGGACACAAGCTTTAACAGCTCATGCGCACTCAACTTCGAAGCGGGAAGATCCTTCTTGCCAGCCCGCAGGCCCAATGCAGGCACACTCCACATGGCCTCACCAGCGTCCGCACCCCCCAAACCTCCAAGTCCGGCGCCTAGTGGCTCCTGCTCCAGTTGGCTGAACTCCTCCAAGTCGGGGAGAACCACCTGAACCCGTCGAGCCTAAAAATCCGAGCGAGCTGGGGCCCCAAAAAAAAACCCGGCTCGGAGCCGGCGGGTTCGATGGCCCGGTTCGGGCAAGCAAGGCTGGCCCTTGGGGCCCGGCATCCGCCCAGCAAGGCCATGAGTTCAGACCCTCTTCGACCTCCCGAGCGCCGGAATGCAAAGGCTCGGCCCTGAGTAGGACGGCAAACCATAGAAAGGGCAAACATGCCTGCCTTGTTTTTGGAATGAAGACAAGGTCGGGTTTAGAGTTTAGGGTGACTTTATGTGAGGGTGTTTTGCTCCCAGTTACCGTTCTACAATGCCCAGAGTTCTCCAGTTCAACATGCCCACAATGCTTCCACAAAAGCCATCTCGTGACAACGAGTCAAATATTGAGGTAGGGTCACAAGCGACTTGCCTGACAGCTGGCCCCGAGTACCAAACCAACCGACGTTGGTAAATGACACCTGACACAGCAAAAGCCCGCACAAAACCCAGAACCGCCGGACAGGAAGAACGGTAAAGTTCACCCGTGCCTCGGGCCACATGCTACCAGCCTCACGCAGCTCCGCCTGATGCCGCTGAGAAGGGGCAGGGGGAGCCAAAGGGCTGGTGGATGGTTTGGTCTGGTTTGGTCTGGCTTGCGCTCGTGCAGCTCCTTGGGGTCTGATTTTTACGGCTTTTGGACGCGCTGCGGGGAAAAACAAATACACTCGAACCTCTCCCGTCTTTTCTTCCCAAGCCCGCATCCCTGCCCAGCTCGACTCTCTCTGTGGGACCCGGCGCAGATTCTTCGCAGCAGGCCGGTGAGCTCGGGCGCACTCTGGTCCCGGTGGGTTTGGTGTCTGGCCGCCTGCCAGAGTAGAGATGCGCTCCAGTTCTGATCGGAAAACCCTTCCTAACATGGCAAGGTGCCTGGAAGATCAGTTTAAAACTGAATGGACCCCCTGTCAGGCGCAATGTTAGTGGGAGGGTAACTGATCCAACTAAGGGTTGGTCCGGTTTGGTCCGGCTCCGGCGCACTTTCCGTTAATCTCAAATCGCTTTGATTCTCAAGCTGGAAAATAGGCCAAAAAAACTCGGATGAACTTCTTGTGCCTTCCTGGTGAGCACGTTGGAATTTGCGCTGTTGAAGCCCCGCACGCGTCTCCATTAGCATCGCGCATGGACCCCCTTGTTTGGCTGGTGGCTAAAGAAACCAAAGAAGCCATCCATTTAAGGGGTTGCGTTTTTTGAGGGGGCGCTTTACACCTAGGTTTTTCCTACCCATCGACATTTTTTTCTGGAACCAAGCGCCATTTAGCATAAGGCGTGAAGACACAGTGGCCCACATCAGAACGCCGCCCCGGATTTTCAGTCATCCAATCAAGGCTCAATGTCCTTCGTTGGTCATCAAGCGAACGAGACAATGAGACATAATAAGCTGGGGCCACTGTGAGAAGTGACTTGGTGGCGGTACTTTTACACCAGTGGGCTCTCACGCGAACAAAGTGCGCTTTGGATGGCCGGCATTTGCAAGCTCACCGCGCGAAGGTCGAGCACCGGTAAGGCTTGTCCCTGTGAAAGCCTGCAAGGCGCGGCGCAAAGGTTTCAGCGTTCATTAGACTCACGGCCGCGCTGCCCCAACTGCTTTTTGTATCGCCGATTGTGGCCGTGGGCAGGTTGCCTCCAGCTGGCGTGCGGCCGGCCCAGCACGCCAGATTGGGTCTCACAGACGAAGCGCAGGTGAACCTCCACAATGTCGTGCAAGAATTGCGGCCCAAACAAAAGGTGTCTTCTGCAGCTCTTTATACACAACCGCGACGTCGTTCTCGGGGCTGACTGTCTGCAAGGGATTCAGGCTCGCGGCTTTTCACTTGGCGCTCGCCAAGTCCTGGGGCACCGAGTTCACCAGCGCGTCAAGTACAGCGAAGCTCGATCCTCAAAACCGCACTGCAGCGTGGAAAATCTTAGCTGCTGCACGGCATCCGGCTGGACCTCGCCAAGGGTGAGCTACAAGCTGCCTGGCTTGAGGACCCAGGATCCAGCAGCTGCATTATCTGCGCCGTCAGCCACGTGAAGCTTTGCACCGTAGTTCCTGTTAAGCTGCGTTGAGCCATATCAACAGGAGTGGATCGTCTCACCCAAAACCGTCACAAGCTTTGTCACTCGAGGGACCACCCCCGTCGTCGTGTTGTAATTAGCCGGGTGAAATATGGTTCATGACCCCAAGCCCTATAAGCAGCATGTTCCAGGTCAGCTGTCTGTTGTGACTCTTGGCTCCTGGATTCTCGCTGGAAGTATCCAAGCTAAAATATGCCCAAGGATAATTCCATCGTGAGCGAAGCACTCCTTCGCAAACAGCGCCAATACTGAAGAAGCCACGATCCAGCCGTCCGGCCAGCAGCATCCAAGAGTAATCTTGGTGGGAAAGTTAAACACCAGTAAAGACCGCACTGTCACTGCAGAAGGAGATTGCACACAAGGCAATCTCTTGTATGATCTGCGCGCAAGAAACGAACTGTGCAAGGTTGCGCCAATTTCTTAACCATGTAGCCATTGGCAATAACAAAGAGTATGACAAGCGCAAACGCGCGCAATACGAGCCGCAAAAGCAAAGTTCAATCAACCTGCCGGCAAGATGTTCGAATCAAAGCCAAGAGAGCAGTGGCAAACAAGTGCAGAAATCACCATGAATGCTTGGCTGAGAGCTGCTTTCATCATGCTCTTGTGGCCCTCCTTTCACCTGCTGCTGCTGAGTCACTTCTCAAAAGAGTGCGGGAACTGCGACATGGAACCATGGAACCATAGATCAAAATCAGGGATAAGATCACCAATCTGGCGAGATGTCGGCAACATTTTGCTCATCACTTCTGAAGTGGCTTGAGCGGAAACCCACCTGAGCATATCTGGCAACAAGCCTCGGAACCAGATCGTGCTGACAATCGCCTGAGCCTGAATTCACGCAAGTCCCCGACGTCCTACTCTTGGGAAAATCTCCCAGCAAACATGCCACAAGCTACCAGAAAGCGCATCCTTCGAGCATGCCTTCAAAAACAGAAGCTCTGGTGATATCCCCTACAGCATGCGGTACTATTGTTAGTGCTCGTACCACCCCGCGCAGCCCTCGCAGAACCTCGCGGAACCCTGCTGGAACCCTGCTGGAACCCTGGTGGAACCCTTGTGGAACCTTACCTCAGGGACCACCCCGGAGCCTATCTGGGCTGAGACCCCAAAGTTTTTAGTTGTTGGGGAAAAAACTCGTGTAAAAAGAAAAACAACATGTTGCACATCTGGTCTCCCTTTCGGACGCCCTGCGGGCGCCAAAACCAAGGGCGGCCTCCCGAAAATCCGCCGCATGGCGCAGGGCCGAGGCGATCGCATGGAGACCTCCGCCTCGGATCCGATCGCGGAGCCGCCCAAGGTCACTGGGCGGTCCGTGGTCGGATCCCCGGCTAAAAGTGACGAAGTGTTGGTGGCTGAAATTGGGAGACCCAACCACGAAACCAACTCAAAAGCTCGAAAGCTTTTCAAAATCGGAGGCTGGGAGCCAAGAAAATGCCTGCTTGGCCTGTTGTTTCCCTTCCAACTCGATCCAAAAAGGGAGGTCCATTTGCCATGGAGCGGAGTCTCGGAGTTCCACGAGGCAGAGGACCACCCCCGCCAGTCTGAATGGGAAACCGGAGCTTTCGTGAGGGAGTGCCTTGATCTTTGGTCCAAATTCGCCTCCGAAACCAAAATACAGTAGTGATAGATTCCCTTTACAACCAGGGGCAAATACAAGAATCATCTTAGTATGGAAGAAAAGGAGCCCTGTTACCTCAAGCTGCGCGCCTCCGAAACCAAGCGATGCGGCTCGGGATCTGTTCGGTGCTTCGGTTCCCTGGTTGGAAGTTCGAACAGGTCACCTGGGCTAAGAGCACCTCTAGCTCGCAAGACCTGAGGTCTGAGATCTGTGCCAGCCAGAAAGTCGCGGACTGCCTGTGCACAGCAAGCAAACACATGCCAGGAAGATTCTGGAAATAGCAGGCGGCTGAACTGCTGGCGATTAGCTGTATATTCCAGCAAAATTGTTTCATACGGGCATGGATCAAAATTAATAACCACCCGGAGGCCGCAAGTTTTAGTCCTTGGTTCCATGTACCGACCGGGCAAGCCATTTCGGAGTTAGCCTGTTTTTGACAACCACCGCCATACAAGAATCGACTGGAAGCGAGCTGGCCCACCAGTTCCCGGATCCCACCTGGATGCAGACAGACTGGGGGCTGCGGATGATCTCTAAGACGAGCGCGCCCACCTCACCAAACGACCTACCCCCAACCACGCCCAACAGCGGACCCGCGTGATCGCATCCGCCGCATGGAGCAAAAAAACAAAAACAAAACACGCCGATCATGATGAGAACTGCAGCAGCGGCAAGAACAAGAACGCCACAGCCAGAAGCACCAAACATGCGGCGAGATAGACCTTGGGGGCCCCGGCTGCGTTCAGCATCGTGGCGCCCCACGGTCTGACAAAGAGATGGTGCAGCGCCCTTGGAAGGACCTCCTGCTCCAGGAAAATCTGCCGGACGGGTGCCGGTTGGACCCCCTCTCTGGCCAGCTGGTTGAAACCAACGGGAGGTGCCATCAAATCGGCAAAAAAATACCCACCTCAGCCCCCCCCCAAAAAAAAAAAACGGACCGCTTGGCCAGGGCCTTTTTTTGAGACAACAAATCCGCAAAGCCCGGGATTTTCCGCCACATGTTCGCCTTCAAAACGTTGGTGTTCGACACCCGCACCAGCTCCACAAGCACGAAGGTGGCCTGCCACGGCTCCAAGTTGTCCACTTGCAGTCCAACATCCGTGGGGGCCGGAACCACACACAGTCCACACCTCTTGTTGGCGCGTGCAAATGCGGTTGCTCCGTTGCCCCTGCCAACTTCCTATTGGGAGTTGGCAAAAAGGTCAAAACAAAGCGCGAGAAACACAACCAACATCCTGAAAACACGCACTCATGTCCAAAGAATGTCAATGAATACTCTGGTTTGCCCTCAAGTCCCCCGCTACAAGTTTAAGTTTTAGTGGCTTCAATGGAAACCACTAAACACTAAAAAGCCAAAAGGCTAAGGAACCGGATGGCTGGGAGCCACCAAGTACTATCTGCACCTTTGAGAATGCAACCGAGGAGCCAAAAAAAATGGAGGAGCCAAAAGAAATGCACTGGGGGAGCCCAAAAATAAGGCAATGGAGGAGCTAAACAAAAAACAAAAAACGAGCGCCGCCCACCTCAAGCGCTCCCGGATCTTGCCCGACCCGACCCGACCAAAACGCGCGCGCGCCTCCGCTGCCAGCTGACCGGAGAGGGGCGTCTCGCCCGGCGGCCTTCCCAGCGCCCGCCCGGGCCCAGTCGCTTCAGGCTGACGCAAGGGGCTGATTCCCGGAGTCAACCTAAGAACGTTGAACTCGTGGGTGAAATTCGGACACCCAACCACTGAAAAAATCTAGGGGATGATTCCTGTTCCATTCTTTCCAACCATCGTTCCTTTCAAAAGCCAGGCTACTTTCCCTGGGTTTTTGGAGGTTTTCTGGAAAGAAGGATCCCTGGAAAGAATGGGGAAGGTACCCTGACCTCGTACCGCCCCTGAAGCCAAACACTCGGATCACCTACTAAAATTGGCCGCTGAAGTGGGCTTAGTTCAGACCAAGTGGTTCGCCTGGTTGCGGGTCTTTCACCTGCACTCCTGCACTGCATGTCTGCGTCCCATCGACTTCAAGATTCCGGCAGTGGGAGGGGACAATCTTGCTTTGAGATGCAACTGTGTCCTTTTACGGCAGCAGTTGTAACAAGCCAATTTCAGCCACAGTCCCCCAGAGAGCTGACCAATCTGCCACCCACGTAGCTTCGAAAGGCTGGGGGAGCCGCGTCAAGAGCTTGTCAAAGGTTGCTCTCTCATCCAGCTTTGCCTGGAAACGAGCCAAGGCAACAGCACAGCCCCTCCAATTGTCTGGAGTGGTGGTTTGGTGGTATGGTTTCCCGTTTACCCTCTACAGAGGCCAGCGGTTCAAATCCCTTGGCCACCAATCCAAGCCACCAACTAGTGGTTACCTGAAGACTGTTCAAAAAAGGACAAAACAAAACTGGATGAAAATATTGACGATGCCTGGTTTATTCTACTTCATGTGATCGCCAGCATTCCAAGGGTGTGAGTCAGTCGCAAGAGAAAGCTGCAGACCTCTTCGCTACTGCTAGCAAGCATCTACGCAGCAAAGCTGTTGCAGAATTTGGGAAGCCTCCAAAGACTGCATTGTCTTGCTGGTTCGCGGCACCGAATGAGGGAATGGCCCCCATAAACCATCGGAGTCCTTTAAGGGAATGCCTAGGTTCATTCCCAAAACCCGGAGCTGAGGCCCGCGCACGCGCATGGCGAAGCTCGGACAGGAGCTGCGCCTTGATCCAGGCCTGAGAGGGTCGCTCGCTCAAGGCGCTGAAGAAACCGGGTTCGTTGCAAATGCTGACGAACTTCAACCCAGAGTGGTTGCAACAAAACTTGCCCCTGTGATAGCGAAGGGAACTTCCTTTCCGAGCCCGGCCGGAATCTTCATAGTCGTTGAAAGCAAAAACACGCGCTGCTGCGATGGCTAGGGAATGACTTTCCGAGCCGGGTGTTGGTTGCATGAACTGGTTTTGGGGAAAACCATGGGATGGATGGGTTTTTCTCGGGGTCGATTCTAACGCATTCCCTGCCTATGGAACCAGCAAGGAGAAACCAACAACCCACGCATTCAAACAGGGCCCCGGGTGTTTGCACATTCCCATGTTTGAGGACTCTGCAGCTGAGAACCTCAATGCTCAAGCTACTTGCTCCACATTGCAACGTGTACCGCATTCTCTGAGGGTGGGGGTTTGTCCATTTCCTTAACTCACTTGCCCAAAGGACCTAGAAAAAAGAGGTTAATCTTTTGGGACCCTTACTTAAAGTGGCTGCCAAACATGGAAAACCGGTTCACCTTTTGGGACCCTTACCTAAAGTGGCTGCCAAACATGGTTAAAACCAAAAGGTGTTTCACGGTCGATTCGCTGCGACCCAGCCTCGCTGGGCTTCTCCGCGCAGCTTTTCTCACGGAAAGCCTGCAGCACCTCGCAGAAAGCCAGAGGCCAGAGAAATCGGAGTCGTGGCCAGAGTTCCGGCGAAATCAAGCCCCCGTGGCTCTTTTTTCTGCCCAAGGAAGGGGTCAGTCAAGCCCCGGTTTCTGACCTCCAGACGTCGTGGACCATGGTTTTTGTTGGGGCGGACAATCCACTCCAGGTGTCCAGCTAAACCCGCACCACACGTGCCACAATTGGCGGCAATTGTGAGGGGATACCATCACAGAGAATCGCATCGGCAAAATGGTCACGGTTAGGCAAGGCGGTCGATCTTTGGCGAATGCAGCAAAAGACTGCGGGCTGTCTCAACTCGTCCAACTTCAACTTCGCTCGTGCCAACACGTCCCTTCTCTCATGCCCACTGGCCACAGGAAAAGGCAGGCAGCCCTGCCATTCCCCTCCTGCCAGAATGGGAAAACAGGGGCATGCAAAAGGGAAGCCCCACCTATTTTGGTCCGCCAAATTATTATTATTATTTAAAAAAAATCGAAGGCAGCGGCGCCCCGTTTAAGCGGCGCGCCCTCCCAATCCCCCAGAGCCTCCAAGAGCCTGGGATCGGGGGACATCTCCAGCAGGTGGTCCCAAATCGCCTCGCCCTGCAGGTCCCCGTCCTTGGCCTCGCTCGGAAGCGGCGCGGCTGCGTGCGCTGCGTGCGCTGCGTGCGCTGAAGGGCGGTTCGGTTAGAGCACATGCCGCCTCCCAAGTTCCATTGGGCTCGTCCTCACGGCTTTCAGGGTGTGGTGGTCAGAAGTAGGCGAACCCCGAAACGGGGTTGCCCCATCGTTAAATCGAAAGAAGGACCAAGATCTGCGGTCCATATCCTGGTGACTAGCTTGGATGATGACCCCATATTAATCAACCCCAGTTTAAGAGGGCCCCTCCAAGAGTGGTCTGGCTCCCCACTAAACCCACGGAGACCCCCCTATTGAATTGGTCCAAATTAGTTAGCACCAGGATATGGACCGCAGGTCTTGGTCCTTGTTTCCATTTAGCCCCATCGCATTTGGTCTGACTCCCCACTAAACCCAGAAAGACCCCCCTTGGCTAACCATGGGTCAACATGATGGGTCCAAATTCGCCTTTCTCTTTTCGCGCATCCATCTCTCCCCGCCCCACCCTCGCCTCCAGCACCGCAATGGTGGCCTGGCGCAGCCGCGAGGCCTCCAAGCTGCGCCTCGGCTGCGGCGTGAGTGAAGCTGGCCGCGGCTTTCGAAACGCGCCCGGGTGGGAAACGGCTGAAGGAAACGGAAGGGACTTCCCGAAATGAAACGGAAGCCAGGGGAGGCATGGCTTTCTAGGGGTTTGTTTTGGGGACTTTCGGGGAGGCATGGCTCTCTAGCAGTTTTTTGCCTCTTTCCCTGCTGAGAACCAGCAAGAGAAACTGCACCTCGAGCGGCAAGAGGTGCGCCACTCGTCCCTTTTTGGCTTGACCCAAATGGCTTCACCCTTTTAAAGGGCCGCCAAGAGGCGGCACCTTTCTTGGGCATCCGGGCCGGGGAGGGGCCGGCTCGCCGTTGCCCTGGAATGGCAGGAGACGGGAACTGCGTAGATGTAGGGGCCATCTTGTGTCTCGAATGGTCGAAGCTGAAGACTCTCTCTCTCTCTCTCTGTCTCTCTTTGCTCTAAATCTATCTCGCTCTAAATCTATCTCTGGGAGCCATGTTGGGCTCAAAGACTGTGCGGTGTGTTCTCGCATTTGCTGCAAGACTTACATTTCATCTGGGCCTTCGCGGGGGGACGGGAATAGTATTGGCTCAGCTTTGCAGTGGGACATGTTCTGGGCTCATGGTCTACAAACAAACGGGGCTATTGGGAGGCACGGTTGCTCAATCACATCCCTAGCATTAAATCATTAGCATGAATCCTACAGCTATTTCAGGGGGCGTAGTTGAACTTGCCAGAACTGCCTTAATTCTCGGCGCTATTTTGACACGTGCAAAGAGCCAGGCCATCCCTAATCTTGGCATTTCCCCCTAGAATCCTTCAACAAGAGAGACCAACGGGGGCGTGCGCGGACCAAAAGCCTCTTATTCTTATACAATCGATCCGCGACTGACCCGACGGTGTGTTTTCAAAATTAGTGTGACTGAAGTTTGGATATGCTGGATTTTGAGGCCTGACCAAGCACCCTTGCCCTTGCCAGTGGGACCTCCGCTGCCTGGGAACTGCTGCATTGCGTTCGCAAAGCCCAAGCGGCACATCCAGTATCACAAGCTGGCAGCGATCCACAGCGACCACCCACGGGCCAATCATCCAGGGTCCGTCCCCAGGTTGGCGGGCCTTGTCGACGTGCGGGCCGAAGAGCACGTTGCCTTGGCCGCTTTCGGGGCCGCTTTGATGGGAAGCGACTGGCCGAAACAAGCTGATCCAACCCTTGGGACGTCTGTGTGGACGCAGTTCCTGCTGCCCCTGCGTGTCTGAAGCCTCGAAACTGCCTGGAGTTGGCGGCCCTCAGGGAGACCAGAGCAGGAAGTAATTCGAATGCCCAAAACCCAGCGCAACATCGAACGCATCAACCTTGATCTGCATACCCAGTTGTATAACATTTATATATATATATATATATATATATCTGCCGCATGGGCTCGGCCTTCGACTCATTCTTCGCTCTCTCTCTCTCTCTCTCTCTCCCTCTCTCTCGCCATCTGGGCGTGTCGCTAATTGTGGTAGGCTACCCCTTTTTGGGGTTGGCTTAAAAGCAAACCAAAGGCGAACACGCCATTTTTGCTTGGGTTGGGGGTCGCCCCGCAGAAAAACGAGCCCATCTCTTTCTCCTTGTCTTCCCTGGTCCGGACCGTCCTAAAAGTGCCCCGGGTGCCAGGCAGAATTTGGGCAAGTGCTCAAGCAGCGCGTGCACCTGGCGACCCGACGGTGGAAAACCAATGCCATTGGCCGATCGGCTCGCTGGGGTGCCAGCTTCAAACGGGCGGCGTTTTTAATCAAGGCGTGCTTCTTCTTGTGGCTGTTGTGGGTTTTTTCCTACCTTTGTGGCCTTCGTAGCTTTGTCTCTTTTTGGCCCAATGGCAGTGGCAATGTGACGTTCGCGACCGCCAACCGATGCCAGGCAGACCAACTCGCAGCCGGCTTCATCTAAGCCTTAGCAGCTTCGCCGGCACAAAGTCATCAATGCAGGGTCGATCCGCCCGAAAGCCGACCGTACTTTGCAAAGCTCTACGAAAAAGGCAAAGAAACGGATGGTCTACTGGCCTGGCACAGCTCTCTTGGGCGAGAACCCCCCACGAGATCTCAGGGCTTGCGACGTTGTTTCTTCCTTTTTTTCTTGCCCAACAGCTGAAAGCGATGGGGTCTCAGCCCATATCGGCTCCCATACGGGCGTGGTGCTGTTGGGGGTATACCCTGAGCTTATCTGGCCATGGGTCAAATCCCGTACCCCCAGTAAACATCCCAATCCCCACTAAAATGGACTAAAATTGGTGGTGCAGCTACCCCAACATGGGATCCCATTGGTATTTGACCCACAAGCATCATGTTCGACAAGATGAATGGTACACCAACCCAATATAACCCAATACCATTCAAGTCAAGCGAAGATACCTTAGCCTCATTAGCCAAGATTCGGGGCAGGCGACCGTCGTCATGCGCCAGGTGCTCTTCCTGGCTCGTGCCCCACCCACGAGAGCGTGAGCTTGAAACCCACACATCGGCTGGATGGCTGCGAACTCCAGTTGGCACCACATTGAAACCATGTGAAACCATCACTTGTTGGCATTCACAGGGGAGTCATCATTCCAGGGTTTCTTGGGTGGTGCGAATGGTTTCCATGAGACAAATATTTGTTGGCATTCACAGGGGAATCGAATCATTCCAAGAAAACGCCCCAAACATCAAGAAGCTTGAAAAAGAGATGCAACCGGCCATTCGTCAAGGCGCACAGGCATCGCCTCTTCCAGCGGCCGGAGAAGATTGGGGCCCCTCGGGGGCAACCACGGGTTCGGCCTCAAAGCTCGAAGCTGGCGGCTTGAATGAAAGCCACGAGGCTGCCAGGAAAAGATCCTAAGGACATTGCCAGGCTCCTTTTGTTTCTCACTTGCCCAAAGGACCCAGAAACAAAAGGTTCACCTTTTAGGACCTTCACTTAAAGTGGTTGCCAAAAGATGGAAAACAAAAAGGTGAAAAAGTCGATTTGCATTGAACCACTGAGGCTTTCCAAAACCTCGCAAGTCCGAGTTCCCAGGGTGAGTATCGAGGCCGCACTCCACGGGCATTGCTTCGATCGCTCCCCTGCCTCCCAATGGGCCTATGGCCCGGTCACGCCAGGCGCCCAGCGACAAGTGGAAGAAGATGGCAATGGCCATCGATAAAACCGACGCCTTGAAGCACGAGGAAAAAAAACACCACCGAATTGCTGGACAATCATGTTGGTGCGTCTTTCTGATTAGTTGTTTGCTTGTTTTCTTGTTTTCGTGTGGGGGGGACCCAGAATGGTGGTTTTTCTTTGGGCGTCCCTCTGGAACGTCTTTCTGCTTCTTCTTTTTTTGAGGGGGGACATTCCAATCCTGGAACAGCCGCAAAAGGGTACAAACAAAAACACACACACACACACCAAAAAAAAACGACGCACCCAAAGTGTTTGTCCATTTCTCCCACATTCACACCGGCCCAAGCGCCAAACCCCAAATTAAAACTTCGAACCTCTGAGGCCACTGCGGCTGGCGCCGGACCCCTACTTAGCACCTGGGCAGAGCCGCGGTCCGGCGACTTTGCTTCTCGCCTGCGATGGTTTCAGCCCTTCACCGCCTCTTCTCGGATTGTTAGATTACGTTCTCAGAAATAGAAAGAAATTCAGCACCAAAACCTTGTGAAAGCCTTACGTTATCACCTATGAAAAAGCCCAAGAACTTCTTGAGAGGGGGGACTCTCTCCCTCACTCTCGACTCTCGCCTGGCTCTCTATATATTCGGAAAAATTATGGGGGCGCTGGTGGCGCTGCGCACCATGCACAGGGCGTTTCAGGAGCAGAGCTTTCGAGAAATCAGCCGGTGGCCGCCTTGTCTACCAAAGTGTGCACCACCTGCGGCGACGACCTAGGTGCGCCGGTCTCATGGGAAACGCCGGGAAAGAGACAGGAGCTCTGTGAATGCTGCTTCTATTCTAACCCTTCTAGCTACAATATGCTTGTCTTTTTGCGCGCAAGCGCGTACAATGTCAACAATGCATATACAATTATGCTATAGAAAACTCAAGGACATGGATGCCCTACATTGTTATTCCTTGTCACTATCTCCGTGTCAGGATCTGATTTTTGCGCGCCCTTCCTCAGATGTGGTAGTGTTCTCCAGTCATTGGCTGCCATGTTCACTTCAGGAATTGTGGTCTGACTGCTCTTTTCTCTCCGCAGGACCATATCTATGCTCAAAGCATACCCCCTGAATTTCACACAGCCGGTACTTCACAGAGGGCCATTCAGCCAACTTTCGCTCGGTCGAACCTTCAGAGCTTCGTTTGGGCATGTCTTTTTGTTGAAGGAACCCTTTTTGGAGTTGGTTTCAAGGGAAACCAAAAGAAAACCGCCATTTTGGGGGATCCCCCAAAAAACGACACACCCGTTTTAGCATCCAGCCTCACTTTGAAGCCAACACACTCGACCAGGTGAGGGCGAAGCGTCTGCTGAACAACGTCCTCCGCGAAGAATATCCTGTTGTTGCAGGCCTGGCCGGCCGACACAGACCCCGGGGCAGTGCAGCTGTACAATCTAGAAGCGACGGAGGTCAATTGGATGCTCCAAAACCTGCAAAAAACACCGCCGGACCCAAACTTGAAATGCTATTGCATCAACCGAGAAGCCTTTAGAAAACGGGGCAGCCGGCAACCGCCAGCGGGCCCGACCAAACCTTCCGTCTCCAGACTACAGCCGCAGGTCTTGATCTAAGGCGGCGCCTGAACGAGCAGCGTCTTGAGCACCAGCGCAAGGTTCTCATCCGCCTCGCCCTCGCCGCCTCGCTGAGATTGAAGGGCGCCCTCACGGAAAAATGCGTCTTGCTGTGCAAGGACGCCACATATGGCTATGGGTCAAAGATGCGTACCCAAAATGGAACCCTGGCAAATGGAACCAAAGACTAAAACCTGCGGTCCCCTGATAATTGTAGTTTGACCCATACCCATACCGGGAATCGTGGCGACTAGACACGAACGGTGCGGCAACACCCCTGGTTGCAGGCCGAGCCGCTTGAGAAGCGCTGCACCAAACGCAGCATGAGCCCATCCACCGGGAAGAGGCGCACGTCGGGATGCTGAGCGGCGACCGGTCAACATTTAGAGAGCTCCGGTGCTGGGAAGTACACACAGGAATCTAGGAAACTTCAATTTCATGAGCGAACAGCTCTTTCTGGGGACTGATTTGAATCTGCCAGCAGACATTTCGTTGGAGCCTTCCTTGTTCAGGTTCCTTGATCGCCCCGACTCACGACTCGCGAGACTGGCAACGGCTCAGCTCCTCAGGCCGTCGCGTGGACGCAAATCAATGCCATAAAAAGCTCGGCGACGCACCTGGCCGGGAGAGGTGGCGTCAGGAAAAGGGAGGCAGAAACTCAGACCTGACCCATCTGACACCTTGCAAATCGAAGGAAAACGACTTCTGCATGACCTGGTATCCAGGAAGCGCAGGAAAGTGTTGAAGACATGCTCCTGCCCGCGGGTGCGAAGATAGTCCATGACCTTGCGAGATGTTTTTCTGTCGGAAGCCAAGAGCCATGAGGACTGAGACTCGGACCTTCCCAGGGCACTTGTGCCACACGGCCGCCATGACACCGCAGAAGTAACCCGCAAGCACCTTCAGGCCGCGGCTGAGGACCCAATCGCGCGCGGATAAAGAAAAAAAGAGCTACCTGTGCAGTTGAACGTCTCAGCACACAAGCAAAGAAGTCCAACACCTTCACGGCAAATGCTGGCATCCTTGGGTGCCACAGACCTGTGACAAATTTCAAACGTGCTCTTCGCATTTCTTTCACGGGAAAGGCAAGCCCACGCCCCACCCAGCTCCAGATCATCCAGGCACGCTCCAGCTGGGGCTCAAAGGCTCGGCCGAGTCAGGCGGAACGTCCAGCAAGAACCCCCACCTCAGCTGCATGCCTCCGCACCAAACCACATGCCTGCGCACCCACACGCCCAACACATTCATGGGCGCTGTATTGTTTTTTTTTTTGTTTTTGCCTTCCGACTGCTGCCCCCCCATCCCCCCTCGCTCCGAAGGCCTGCGAAGGCCTGCGAAAGAACGCCAAAAAATCGGCTCAGCCCGGCGCAGCACGTCCATCAAGTCGGTGGTGCCGTGGGCATCCGTGTCCTCGCAGGCAGTGGAAACAAGCGCCGCGACGCCAAAAGGGCGCCCAAGATATTGGCAAAAACTGAGCCGTGCAGCATCTCTTTAAGGAAAGCCCCGAAGATACTGAAAAAACTGCAAGTTCCGCCAAGATGAAAATGGACATACGCTGCACAGCTCTGCTGGCGAGCTGGGCTTGCACATGCTTCGCCATCCAAAGGCAAACAAAAACGTGTCGTGCTCAGCAGCATGGATCTCAAATCTAAGTGCAGGCTGGGGTTGCAGCAAAAAACACATGGATCACCTTGAGCTTCCAGCTGTCATCCTGGCTGAGGCTAGCTGGTTGGGGAAGCAGGCCATCTAATCGTCTAATCTGCAAATCCCCAGATTTCTCCAGGCGAAAAACCTCGTTTTTTTTTGACCTAGGTCGGTGACTTTTTGCATCTCTGGAGGAGAAGGCCTGGGACCCTGGGAGCTGGGCGAGCGGCCAAGCGGCGGGGGGGAGGGGGGGAGGGGGGGGAGGGGCGCTCCTCCGCAGAGCCAGGGCCGCAGAAGGCCAGCAGCTCTGCGGCCTCGGGGTCAGCATGCACTGCGCAGCTGAAGTCAAGCATGGCAAGGTGGAGATGCGGGCTCTCATGCCACAACCTTCCCCTGAAAAGCATGCGCCTAAGGGCTTCCCAATTCCTAAGCCCCCCTCCTTCCATCCCCATACATTTTGAGCATCCCGGCCGTGTGGCTGCGGTGCCGCATGCGCTCTTCCGACTCGCCTTGGTCGCCGCACAGGACCGGACCATTGAAGTCCTGTCCGTTTCTACTTGCCTGGGTCCAAAACCCGAGCAAACATGCAAGACTTTGTTCAGCCAAGACAAGAAGGCCCCCGTCTACCTGAAAGAATCTATCAAAGTCGCCCTGCACCATTGTCCAAATGCCAATGCAAAGCCAGCTGGAGATAGCAAGTCAGCAAGAATGCAAACAATCCTCAGCCCAAGCCAGCTCCACTGAGAAAAATCCCCTCGCCACGCCGATTGTGTTGCGACCTGCGCTTCTCCTTCCCACTCGGCTGCTGGCACTCTACGAGGCGGGTGGCATGCTCTACCTCGAACAGGTGACACCAACAAATTCCAGAAGTCTTCCCGCAGTCAAAGGAAGGCTTTTAGTTCAACTGGGCTGTCCGTTTTCGGATCCGCAAAACGTGCCCAAGTTTTGGGCCACAGTCGGAAACCCAACCACCAACCACTTCACCCACTAAAGCAACCAAGAAGCGAAAAAGCTAGAGGAACCGGTTATCCTTTGGGCCGGGAGCCCCAGGTGTTACCAACTCGCCTCGACCTTTGCGACGACTTTTGCGAGGACTCCGGGCCGCCGGCAAGGCTTCGCACGCTCTCACGGTTGCAGAGCCGCTCGACGAGCTTCGGGTTGCCGCTGCGGAACTCCTCGAGGCGCGAAAGGCGCGACACAGAAGCAGCTGCCGTGGTTTTCTTGTGGAGCCCGGTGCCTTGGATTGGTCAGAACAAGGCGTGTGTCAGTCCCTCCAATTGGCGGTTTGGATTGGTGGCTTGGTGGTTCAAGGGGTTTAACCCCATTTACCCGCTACAAGATTCCAAGCCAGCAATCCAAACCTCCAACCAAGGACCTGACAGAAGCCTGTTTCTCTTTCATTGTCATGCTTCAGGTTGCGTGTTGATGCTTTTGAATTTGAGGACATGCATTCGTTTTGCAACAACCCTTGCTCTCGACCATGTGTTGCTTGTATGCCTCAGTGGTTCCTGACATGTCAGGCACAAGAGGCATTGCCTAAACATAAAGCCAAGAGCTCCACCTGGAACCCGCGGGTAAACATGCTCGAAGAAATGAGTGCGGCTCAATTCGACATTTTCAGGGCAGCAGCCCAGCTGATGCAAGAGCAGTATCGCACAGACATCCTGGCAGGATGTCAAACACAAGGCCCGCAAAAAGCTAAATGAAATGTGGCCAGCCACCAGCTGCCAAGAGAAGGCTGAAGGCAAACGGAAAAACAACAGCAGCCACAGCATCAGGTTGCTCGCCAGTGGCAGATCGTGCAAACTGGACGCCGAATACCCCGAAAGCATTTCAAGAAACGGGCCCCGCGCAAGCAGCCTATGAAAGCTGTGCTGTGCAAGAAGCCGGGGGTAAGCGGCGCTGTGGGATGCGCAATGCCAGAAAAGCTAAGCAAACACAACACAAGACGTCGCGCAAGCAGTGCAAGCCAAGAAACGCTGTGCAGGCAACACGGTCCAAGCACCCCCTAGGCGCTGCGTTTGAGAAACCCGGGAGGAAGAAACAAAACGCGAGCCTGGAGCAGGCTATCACCTTCATCCAAAAGCTCCTCTACGGTGCTGGCCTGCCAGGGTGCGCAAGAGCAGATGTGTCCGATGGCAGGCTATCCCTTCATCAGGTGTCACGGTGTCCCCTCCCCGGGCGTGCATGCCTGAACATGGATCGAGCCCACTACACAACATCCAAAAAGCTTAGGGCTTGCTGCAATCCTGCCAGATTCCGGCTGTCCGCTTCCGTGACAAGTCTGGAAGCCGCAAAAGGCAGCAGGGAAGAAGAAACCTTTGTGATTGAATTGAAGTGTCCCAAATCACGTTCGCACGTTGCCTCCAAAATCACAAGATGCGAGGAAAAGCAGAGGTGCCTCCCAATCACTCGGCCACGTTGTGGTGGGAATGATCTCGTCTAGCTCCTGCAAGGAACATGCAGGCCAGAGCTCCACCAAAAACTATGGTTGACAAAAACATTGTCAGAGATGTCGGAGTGCAAGGATCACATTGGGGCATGCAAGTCTATTTTAGTGGTGATTGGGATGTTCACTGGGGGTACGGGTTTTTGACCCATGGTTACATAGGGGCATGCAAGGAGACGGAAAACCAAAGTTGACCAAGTGTTGGAAGACCTGTGACTCGCAGGCGGCGTGTCACGGCGCTCCGAGTCTCTGAAGGTCTGCCACACTGGCTCGTTGGCCGAGTCGCCCTCAGGCGTTGTTGAAGAAATGTCTCGTTCGGAATGGCCCAGCTGGACATGTTTGCCGCGACACCCATCTTTGTGAAACCTTGATACCGTTTTATATCTTCACACAGGCAGCCTCTTCTGCGATTCATTGCCAGCTTCTTTCTTCTGGCAAGTAACACTCGAGCCTTCCAAGAAACAAGCTGACGGCTTCAAGTTCGCCTGAACAAAGCTCAAGGGATCTGTGATGGTCACAAAAGTGCTTCTGGCCACCAAGGTTGATATGCCTGCCAGCGTTCAGAGTGCCCGGAGGGAGAGGGAAAAAAAAAAAACGGCCACACGCTGGGCTCCTGGCTTCGGCCATCAGGCTCCCTGCGCCGAAAGCTTGGAACATGGAGCCTTGAAGCCCGCCTCGAGTCCGCATTTCTCAAGCTTGCAAGCTTGGGTGCTCTCCCTCCAGACCCTTGACCAATGCTACCTCCCACAGGATGCGCCTAAATCTCCGGTCTCATCCGACCCATCCCGCATCGGCCCCACATGGCATCTACCACTTCTAACCGAAACAAATCTTTCACTCTGGCGTCATGTCGGAGAGCAGGGACGGTGGGAAGCCCAAAAAAGGGAGGGATAGAGTGGGCTCTCCTGACATGCTGCATGCTGCGCGTAGATTTCAGCAACCTGAGACCCGCCAATGGGCCAAGGGCTGCGACAAAACATGCAACCAGCCGTCTTTGTCTCTCTGCGTCACTGCCGCTGTCTCAATGTACGTGCTTACGCATACGTACGCAAGCTAAGCCTTTGCCACACCCAAACGAAATACCAAGCCACTTGCATCCATTTTAAGCGCTGCAAATAAGATCCCGCCATCCACAGTGAAACGTGTAAGTCTGGGGGCGTCGACGAAAAGAGTCTAATCGCCGCCAAATTTCAACTGGCAAGCAAAATCAGAACAAGGCTTGTGTTTGGATTGGTGGTTTGGTGGTTAAGGAGGGGTTTAACCCCATTTACCCTCCACAAAAGCCAGGGGGTCCAATCCCCAAACCACCAACCCAAACCACCAACTAGTGAAAGGCTAAAGTAATGCTGATCCAAGGGCTTGCCGTCAAAAAAACGTTCCAGCTTTCACCACTTGGTTTCAACGATGTCTGCAGCACGGAGACGCCTACGGGAATGACCCACTCAGCAGCTCCGATGAATTCTGTGAAAAAAGGGTCCTAGCGATGTCTCGCCGTGCCATCTTCCTTTGGAAGGGCCCGAGCTACCTACGTGCTACTCGCCCCGGCTAGATCCTCTTTGCTTTACCTGTAGCTGGGCGCATAAATTCTCCCATCAAGAGAGCAAAGCCTGCGGCTCCTTGCACGGCAGAAACCTTGGACCATCAGTGGAGCTGTGATGCAGCTTTGCTCACCTGCAAAGCATGCGATGTTCAGCAGCGAGTTCATGCAAGCCACTCGGAAATATACAAAATATATGGGGGCGACATGTACGCAAAAATCAACTCCGCAGAGACCCGTGAGCCGCAGTGACTAGATCAGAGGAGCGACGTGAAGCGTTGCGGCCCAAACGTAATCTGGAATGAGACACCCCCTAACAATTCCTGCCCCAACAACAGGATCCGCGTAATCACCCCAACGGGCGCATAAAACCGTGTGTTTTTGAAGGAAGTGGATTTTGGAGCTTCCGTGCCTACAGCAATTGCCCACCATGGAACAATGAAATGTCCTCCTTCCATGAATGAGAGGACACGCCGCTACAACGACAGCCTGACATCAAGTAAGCTCGAAAAAACAAGCAGCCAAACGTCATCTCCCTCTATGAGAGGTCATTTACGACATGAGACTAAAACCACACCTCGACTCCAGATGCTGAGACGCGCGCTGGGTCAGCGCTGAAGAGATCAAGCTGACACGCTCGCCCCCAGTATCCTGCAAGCGGGGGCGTTGTAATCAGCAGTGCGGCACGTCAGCCCCACATCGTTCCCCGCATGCGCGCAACTGGGTAAAACCTGGATCAGTTTTGGCTTCAGGCAAGCAAACCATCTGCACTCTTGCAGAAATTTCTTTGCAAGGACTGGGTGTTCGGGCGTGGGCTATGAGGGTTACCAAGCAGCCAATTGATACATGAGCTGCTTGCCCTCGTGCCTTGTTGCTCTTCCAGCAGGCCTGACCATATTCTGCTCAACCCAGAGTGTCAGTCCCCGCAGGCCACCCAGAGTCCCTAGCGCCATTGCCTTCAGCACCGCATCAGCATCTGAGCAGTGCGAGCAGGCCAAGCTGCCCCAACCTGGCGCTCTTGCAACGGGGAAACGCTTCAGGTGGGAGAAACGGTTCAACTTAACATTGCACGATGCCTCTATCATGAAACGAGCACTCGCAGTGTTCAAACCAGGCGCTGCTTGCAGTCTTTGACGGTACCGGCTTGAGTTTCTGAAAGGCAAAACAGGACCTCAAGCAAGCCTCGTCAGCCTTATTGCTGAGTACAACACAACTTCGCCTCGGGTTGACCCAAAAGGTTACACAACCCAATGACAAGCATTTCACCTACTTCGTGCAATGTTCCGCCCTGTTCGAAGACCAGCACGCACCAAGCCAAGCATAATTATACCTCCGCCCTCCCAAACGGATTGTCCGTTGAATGGCTGAACTCATAACCCCCTGACGCTCATTCCCTCGCCTAGATGTGGTACCCGGCCGCACTGCGCGCACCTATTCGCCTGGCGCGCTGGAAGCTGAAAATACACCTGTGGGGGGGGGGGGGGGGGGGGAAGGGGGTGAACGGTGGGGGAAGGGGGGGTGGAGGGGGGGTGGGGGGCGGGGGAGGTGCAGATTTTATGAGGAATGGCTGCTCAACTGCTGCCGTTGTGGGACAGCGTACCCTTTGAGTTCCTGTCTCAGTCTTGCGCGCATGGAAAACGCACTCCCCGACTCTTCCTGGCCTTCGCCTTCGCCTCGGAACCGGTTCCAAACGCCATATGGATTCTGAGGATGGCAACTGAGGCGGCGGCTGGAGTCTTTGAGCAGGGGGCATCCTTGAAAAGCTCCGGGTAGTCCTCGCGGCTCTCGAGTTATATGCGAGGTGCCAGGATGGATTGCCGACGTGACCAAGCGAATCCCCCACAAAATCAAGGAAGAAACTTTCCCACAGAATCTCCCAAAGAACCCTCCACTCGCCCTTGACTGCCTTGAGCGCTATGGCTCGCCTGGTCTCTAACATTACCCCGCCCACCCCCCCGCAATCCCCCCCCGCCCCCCGTGTGTCGCGTCGGTCCCGGAAGAGACGCTGCAGGGGCGGTGAATACTGGCAGCTCCTAGCCGCGGCTTTTGCCCCAAACCTGGACCCGTGACGCGTCACTAAAGGAAACTCACAGCCAACAGGGCTTTTCACCTGAGACACCCAGCCTGTGAAAAGTGTGCAAACACCGTTATTTATTCAAACCGCCCTCTAAGGCCTTACGGGGACAAAGTAACAGTCTTGCTGACTCACAGCGTCAGGGTCGGGAGGCCTGCGCCTACCTGACCTTCTCACTTCAACAAGTGGCCGACACGTCCCCTGCGGATAGGTGCAAAATCCACGAATCGCACCGCAGTTCAGAACCCCTGGTTTGTTGTCATTCGATTCCCCAACGTACATACCCACCAGAAAGGTTCTGGTTCCAAACATGGTGCTCATCCATTGCGTGGTGGGAGTCCGGATTTCGCAGGACAGGGCCAGCGAGTTTGGCAACGCCCTCCTGGAATGAACTCCAGGGGACGTCGGCATGGCCGCGGCCTCCGCTTCAGTTCAGACACCGAGGCAGTCATTCAGAGGTTGGCTTGGCGGGGACCCTGCCGCAAAACTCAAGGAATGGCGGCAAAACTCACGAACCATTATTATAACGGACGTAGATACCCAGGACAAAGCAAGCTACTAGCAAGCTAGCACTCGCACAGCCAACATTTGAGCGATGCTCTTGCGGCATCACTGATCAAAAGATGAGATTGGAGTACCATGCAGACCCTTGGGTTGAATAACAAGGCTACATGAATATCTTCATTGATGCACCTGAAACATTGCTTATGGATTTGTCAAGTCTGTCATGCATCTTGTACCTAATATCCATTGTTTGCCAGCGTCTTATCTACAAATGATGAATGCAGCCGTTTACTCCATGGCATCTCGCCAAAAGCTATACCTGTTGCCTGCACTAATTCCGAACCCCAAAACATCCACAAAGAAATGCATCCGTCTGCCCTGTGAGCGCAGTCCCTGGAATAGTCAACCCAGCAAACCGTCAATGTGTCAGTTGTTTGCAGTGTGGCCCATGGATAGCGTGGCCAACATCAAGTTCACACGAGCTAGAACATACTATAAACAGTTCTTTCAAACGCTCTGCATGTACTCCACTTGAGCTTACTTTTCCATTGTGCTTTTGAGATGAAACCTAGATTCATGCTTTTGGTCGCCACAGGTGTCACGCAACTTCCCCTTGAAATCTACTGAGGCAAGCCTCCAGGCGGGCAGCGTGCACATGAATGCCCTCCTACCACAAGGGGAGGGGGGGTGGGGGCACCCCCACCCCCCCACCCAATTTGATTTATCTGGTCTTCCCCATAGTGAATTTATGGAGATCTCCAAAAATCAATTCCATGGTTGAGGGGCTGGGGATTCACACAATGCAGGGACTGCTCCAGGCCGCTGGCACTTGGCTCGCGGTTCTGAGCATCCTGGGCCAAGGGTCAAAGGCCAGGCAAAGGGCAGGCCAGTGAAAATCCATCAGAGCCAAAGGCACTTGCCAGGGCCAGGGTCCGTACAGCCCTTCCAATACCTGAAAGCACCCGACGCTCCCGACTTCAGCTGTCCTGAAGCTTCAACTCATACTGCCAGCGCAGGTAGAGGAGAAGCCACACCGCCTTCATGCTGCGCGCCGATCTTTATCTGTCAAACCCAATCTTTCTGCTTACGAGAGTCCAGGTGAACCATGCCAGTGAGCTTGCTGCATATTGTTATTATCAACTTTCCCCCCTCCTCCGCCCAACCCAAGCCGCTTGCTGCATTACCCCCCCCCCCCCCACCCCCTCCACGGCACCTTCGCCACGGTGGGCTGCTGCGCTTGCAAGGAGGTACCCCTGGCACACAAGCCGATGCCCCGAGTTGCGGAATCGGTGCACAAGGATGACTGGTGCCATCAAACTAGTTTTTCAGCTTCCCTCTACTTGGTGGTTTGAATTGGTGGTTTGGTGGTTTGGTGGTTAAGGAGGGGGTTTAACCCCATTTACTCTCTCAAATCCTCAATCCAAACCACCAACTAAGGGCCCTGAAAATTCTGAGCCAATAGCCCGACCAGCGCGTCTGCGCCCACGGCTCGCCTAATGCCTACCACCTCGAAAGCTATGAGCAGCAGGCACTCGATGAATTGCGGCAGGCTAAACCTGGCAACCCCCAGCGAGCAGGATCATAGGCGAGCTTCCCTGACAATCGGTGGTGTGGAGCCGAATCGGTGGTTTGGTGTTTTTGGAGGGGCTTTCCCATTTACCCACATAAGCCAGGGGTTCAACTCCAAATCCAAACCACCAATCCCAACTGGTGAAAAGCTTTTCTTAGTACTGATCCACTGGCATCCACAGACTTCCCATTCAAACAAGAGATGGATTGTCGCTCCAGCTTTCACTAAAATTGAGGGTGCCGCATCCCCTCCCCCCCCCAACCCAAAAAAAAAAACACTCCAGCTCTCACCCTCTGGGGGTGCAACACCCGCCACGGGCTGGAGGTCTGAGGCCCAGGCTCCGCCACGCCGGCGGCCACTTGAGCCTCGAAGCCATGGGAACTTTGGTGGTCGGTCTCCCAATGGGAGCCCCGTGCTTCGTCTTCCGTGCTTTCTTGTTGTGTTTGACCGTGTTTTTTTTCTTTTTTTCTTCTATTTATTTATTTTCTTTGTGTTCTGGACTTGTTTGTTTAGTTTCTGTTTCTTTTGTTTGTGGTCTGGTGGCTGTGTTCGTGTTCTGTTGTTGTTGTGTTTCTGTTTTTGTGTGGCTTTTTTTCCTCCGGGGGGGTGAGTGGTCTGTCTTTTTGGAAGGATGCACCCCATTTTTGGGGGTTAGAAAGGGAAACCACTGAAAAAACCCACACATTCACACATTTGACCATCATAGTGACACCAGGCCCCGCAAATTCGCTCATCTTCAATTTGTTCCGTGCTTTCTTGTTCGATTTCTTCCTTTACAGGTTACCATGTCTTTGTTTTTTGGGGACCACAAGGCCACACCAAATGCCCATGGCCGGTTGGGCCGGTGCCATGAGCGAAACCCCCCCGCTGGGCTGCGCGGGGCTCCGGGGCTCCGAGCGCGGGTGGCGGCCACGGACCAAGTCACCGCGGCCAGGGCCGCCTGCAGCTGCCGCCGCTGCCGCGCCACGTCGCCGATGCCCTGCCTCGCTCCGAGCGGTGGAACGAAGGCGCGGACGAGGCGCGGACGAGGCGCGGACGAGGCGCGCTTGGGCGGTTTTGGCGGCGGCGCGGTGTTCGGGCGTCGCGGCGTCTTTTTTTTGGGGGGGGCGGGGGGGGGGGAAGACGCAGAGAAAATTGCAACCTCCCCTTCTTCTTCTTTTTTTGGGGGGGTGCGGGTTGGGGGGAGACATGTTGCGGAAGACATGTGTTTGGTTAAATGTATCATGTAAGATGTATTTGTTGATTAGCTGTGGTTAAATCATGTGGCATTGTGTGTATGTCTTTTTGCGCAAACTGATCCGGGGAGTGGTGAAAATAGGAAAAATGCAAAGTCCGCTGATTTTTTTGGGGGGTCCTCTAAATTTCTAAGCACACCCTAACAGGGTTTCGTGGTCCCATCTAGGGCATCCTCCTTACTTTTGCCAGGTAAAAGTTGCCATTTGTGTCGCCGCCAGGTTGATTTCTCCGGGGCATGGGGCAAACTTCGGCGCCGGAACTGAGGCACTGGCGATGACAGGGCCTGCAAAGGAGCCAGAAGCCGGAAAACGAATCGGTGGCTCGGACCGAGCGAGCGGAAATCCTGGCTCTTCCAAGGGTGCAGGCGAAGCCTCTCTCTATGGGCAGGCTAGCAAAGACCAAGTGGCATGGGAGCAAGCACAGCCCTCGCTCATCCCCGTGCTTCTCTGCAGGAGCAGAACTCTCAACCCTGTACCAAGCAAACTGACAGGCCAGACATTCACTCACGGGTTTGTAGGGACAGCAACGGCCTTCGAGAGCTGCGCTAGGATCGCCACAAACTCCTCCTCCTCAATGACGCCGTCCTGCCGGAGCCAGGCAGAGCCAAAGCATCACAGCCAAAGCTTGGGGCGGTTAGCAGCCTGCCACAAAATACACCAGGCGGAAATGCACAAAAATTTGTCAATGATCGCCGCAAGGTTGCCAAATCCTGTCAAGGGCAGGCACAAGCAGTGCTATCCACGATGGCCGTGTATTGCATCGTGCTAGGGCTGAAAATCCCAACAAATAGCTGTTTGTTTGTTGCGGCCCATGGTGGAATCTAGTAACTGTGCAAAAGACTGCAAGTGGAATTGCATGATGAATCCTTCAGCACTCACAGCTAGCATGCTGTTGAAAGTGCCGGTGGAGTCACTCTGAAGCCCCCGAATGCGAGCCAAAGGAAGCACTTCAATTCCTCCCCTGAACACCGCCTCTGGCTATATTGAGGATCGGGCGGACTTGCTTGTGAATAGATATTTGGAGGGTTCGCGTGATTTCTGGTGGGATGCAGGTGTTCAAGCAAACGTGCCACTGTCAGCAAGCTTGACATGGACTAGTCCATGTGTCATCGAATCCCATGCTCCCTCCAAACAGCCGTCTTTGAATCAGAAGCACCTCAAGTTCCCAGCCCCCCTCCCCAGTCCCCGTTCACATCCAGCACGTCAAAGGGCTGCGCCACTTCCAGCGCAGCAGAACGCCCACAGTGCAGGACCAGCAATATCTTGGCCTGATGGGCAGGCAAGCAGGCCGGCGGGCAGGGGAACCTCCAAGGCCTTGCTCTCAAGCTCGTCCTTGGTGATCTGGCCGCTGCCAAATTCCTCGAAGAGCCTTTGAGGTGTCCAGTTGTTCTTCTCCATGACCTGGCATTGTCATGAGGACAGCGCTGCTGAAAGCGGAACTCTCTGCAGATGGCTGAGCCTTCTGGCTACAGGTGTGCCGGGGGTGGGGGGGGGGGCCCAAGAAGCAGAGCGCTTGAGATGCGACGGGGTCCATGTCAGCCAACTTCGGAGGTCTTATTTTTGCCAACCCTGCATGAGCAGATGCCCTGCTGCAGTGGCAACCCCCATCGGCCCACCTTGATCAAGTCCCTGAAGAAGACGCTAGCGTTGCGCTCGGTCGGCGACATGTCGCGATCCGCCTTTAAGAAGAAGTTGGCAGCCTCGCGTGCCCCAAACAATTGTCCGATGACAGAGACAATTCAAGACTTGCAGTGTCGCTTTGCCGAACCTCCTTATCGAAACACTCCTTCGGCCCAAAGCCCAGAGGGACCCCCGGCGAGCTCCAGCTTGTGCTTCTGCTTTGCCACAACTGCCAGAGCCTCGAGGCCGCTTTTTTCTGCACCATTGACCAGTTTTTGAGGAACCTCCCGCTTTGAGTTATTCTGAGATACTTCTCATCACCGCGGTACAGTTGCAGGCATGGGTCATGTGCTTTCTCCCCTCTCAGAAGCGCAATCCACTCAACCACACATCAGCTACTACCGTCCGGCTTTGGCTCAGTGGAGCCATGCGAGCCCCGAAAACCCAAAAGCCCACTGCCTCGCCTGCTGCAGCTCGTAGGGGGTCACGTGCCCAGCCTCGTTCAGCAGAAGCGGTATGAGCCTGGGGCTGGCCGCCGGATCTGGCTGCAGGCAAACCAAGATAGTGTGGATGGACGAAATCCAGTTCGCACCACACAGAAACCGTGGAATAATGATTCGCTTGGAATTTCCAGCAAACGCGATTTCAAAGTGCCGCAAAATGGATTTCGTCCATCCACAGCGTCACCCCGACCTACCCTCCCACCTTTTTCACATGGAAGCTGACGTTTCGGTGGAAGGAAGCACGGGTCCCGAACGTCGAATGCTCCAGCTGTGAAGAAGGGTCCCTGCAAGAGCCCGGAGCACCTGTAAAGCTCCTCCTCCTCTGGGAGATGGTCCAACTGCAGCAGCTTCAGGCCTGGATCGGAAGCTTTTACACATCAGTCACTTGCAATAGGGTTAACCCCCCAACCAACAAATGGGCTTCTTTAGTTTGGCGGCCGAAGCCACTCAAAACACGCAAGTTTGGAGGGTGGGGATACGGGAAAAGAATGGAAAAGAGGGGGAGCTACCCCACCTATGATGCAATAGATCCGCTTGAATTCACAAACAGCTGCCGAAGCTGCAACGGTTCAAAGGAGCCCACAAGAAGTGCAGCCACACCATCCACAGGCCAGCACTGGTAGGATGGCTTGCCAGGGCAGCGTGATTGATAAGTCGGGTTGAGACTGCTTGCCAGGATGGCAAGAAATACTCACACCAGATAGCAAGCCTGCCAAGACGCAACTGCGACAATCGCGTGCGAATGCTGCCGGCGCTATGAGGGATGTTTGCACTGGCTAGTCATGAGCCCAATGCTCTTTGAAGAAGACGCCTCCTGAACCACACCGTGCACACCCTGCCTTGGACAAACTCATCACCGCAAATTCCACCGTTGCCATTCCAGTCCTCGCAGAGCCAAGCGATCCTCAAAGTATGTCACACGGACATTCGTTCTTGTTTGGGGCTGACGCATAGCACACGTGGCAAAGGGGCTCTACACCCCCGCCCAACCATCCCCCGTCCAGCAGCGCGAAGACGTCGCTGGGCGTCCACATGCGATCCTGGGCATTGGCCGTGCCGCCAGGCAGGTGATGCCGAAGGGCAGAAAGACGTTGAGTGCAGTTTTCCTTGATGGCAACAAATGGTTAGGATGTTGACTTGCGGGGGCCGGCTGCCTATTTGCACCCTCCCAGCCTGGAACACACCTCCCCTTTTACCATATACTCAGTGATGAAGACTTATGAAAAACTGGCTGCCCATGAGTGAGAAAAAACAAGATCCAGACATTCCCTCGAGTTACGAGACGGCCTGCACAGCAAGATCCCATCCCTCACCTTCATCCAGTCATGGATGGCACCAAGAAGGCCAACACAGGCAGTCTCCTCGCAGATTTGCGGTGTCCGAATGAGGAAATGATCCCGAATGGGATCAAGAGCCTTAGAGCTGGCTGCCATCCAAGCCAAACAGAAAGTATAACGTGCTTGCTTCGGCACGAGGAATCCTACGGAGCACTTTCAGCGATAGATTTCGCGTCAATGCTTGGCGGACCTGGATCTAGTCATTGCGGTCAGCTCATGGCTTTTGAACTCACTTCATGAAAGAATGTTCCATTCATACAGAACCAAGCTTTGGCGCTTGACCGGGCGGCTTCATGCAATGTTAAACGCCCACCGCCCCAAGGTCCTCCGCGTTGTGCTGCGCAAACTCCTTTGTGAGCCACTCGAACCGCCTCCGGCTTGCAACCCGCAGCCGACGCCCAGGAGTTCCTCCCGCCGACCTGGGGCCCCGACTGGGGCACCTGCAGCCCGTTCCAGAAGAAGGCTTTGGGCTCTCGCTTGGGCCCTGGCACGGCCCATGCGGCAAGTCCAGTGAGGCGGTCGCAGGAGCGGGGCGCATCTTGTACATGAGTCAGGATTTGGGACCGGGAGTGCAGAACCAAGACCCCAAACGTGCCACTTGGCCCAGGACATGCCTACTTGGCAAGCCTATCCTGAAGGGGTGTCTGACGAACCTCCGCCGGGCCCGCGGCGCCGGCGCTGTGGAGGGCAGGGGCTGGGCTTGCTGCGGCTGTAGCCATAAAGACGCCTGACGCGGGACGCGACGCGGTTCGTTCGAGCCAACGAATGCGACCTGACGAGGAGAGACCCTTTTGAATATGTCTTGGGTCAATCAGAATCCATGATCGTTGAGTTGCCTGAAGGCAAAGAAAAACTGTATTTACGTAGCTTGTGTCTCCCTCCTGTAGCCGAAACTTGCGAGGGAATGCTGAAACACAACGGGACTCACTGCTGCCAACTAAATAGGGTCATTATTTTGTTTGTTTCTTGGGTTATCAGAGTTAGAAAATGGGGTTGGCCCCTTTAACCTACCACTTAGGTAGTGACTTTGATTATGATGAACCAATGGGGCGACACCGAACCGCAAAGCACCCATTGCCATGCTTTTCATGTTGCCGTGCTTGTCCTCAACCCCTTACTCCAAAAGCAGCGACCTGTTCTCCCTTCCCGCCCTTGGGCCGCGGCTGGAGGCTCTGAAGATCAATCACGGAGGGGAACAGCCCCAAGTCGAAGCAAAACCTGCGGCCGTGTCCACGGCCACGGACGGCACTGGCCATCGAGCCATCGAGCCATCGCCTCAGGAAGGCCGAGATGGTCATGTGGCCCTCGGTGGCGCCTCGCGCCGGGAAGTCGCAGTAGGTCTCGAACAGCACCTGCCGTTGGAAATCCGGAGCGTTGTTTTTTTCCAAGTGCCGCCCTCCTCCAGAATTGACGGACCATGGGCTTCGTGAGTGCGGATTGTTTCTATGGGGGTTGCCACAAGTGTTTTCCTTTTTCTTGAATGAGCTGCATGCAAGATCCGGGAATGAACATGTCCATGAGTGGTGTCTGTTCTTGGGAAGTCTCGGCTCAAGTCTCGCCATCGATGGGCTTCAATCAAGTGGCTTCGAGTTTCCACAGCTCAAAATGGCAGCCACAGCCATCGGTCAGCCTGGAAGATGCCGGAGAACATGGCCTCGGCGACATAGCCCAAGCCCAAGCCCCGGCTGCAAAGCTGCCACAGGCTTGCATGTGCAGCTACTGACTCACCCTGGTGTGGCTCCAAAGGGACGTCTGGAGAAATCAAATGACCAGACCTCCTCGACAGGCCAAATGCTGGTTCCTGCCCATTTCCAACCATGTGAGATCAAATGAGTCATTGAATGACGCGTAAGTGCGACAGACATCAACCCCAAAAACGGGATTTTCCCCTTTTTCAGAACCACATGGGCTTCGCGTTCCCGTGGCTTCCCTTTAAAGAACCCTCGCGCCGAGCGTTCCGGACATTCTGCGAACACCTGGCCCCCCGAGCCGAGCTCGCAGCCACGAAGGCGACCACTTCAGGCTCCAGCAGCTGGTTCTGCAGGAACTCGGCCTGGGAGGCCACGCAGAAGTTGCATGGCGGTGGATATGTCAACCAAATGCCCCAGGCATCCGACTCCGGTTCCAGGCGTTTGAGCTTTGTGCGTTGGATTTTGCCAGATGGGTGTGGCTCAAAAACAAAAACACGGGCAGGCCGCAGGTGTTCGCCTTGGCTTCCACTTTCCAGGGCAACCCATGTTGGTACCGCTTTTTTGAGCCACAGCCATATGCAGGTATTGAGGTAGTGTAGATGTGTATGTGTTTGTGTATGCATTTGTGTACGTATGTACGTATGCATGCATGTGGGTCGGTAGGTTGGCAGGTACGGATGGATGTTGTCTGCATGTGTGTCTGCCGTATGCCTGCATATGCATCTGCCCGTATGTGTGCATAGGCGGGTATGCGTGTGTACCTACATACGTTTATACGTCGGTATGTCTGCATGCTTGTATGTATGATGCGTGTATGTATGTATGTATGTATGTCTGTACATAAGTGCGTGCGTACGTATGTCCACAGTATGTGCGTATGTACATGTGCATGTGTGTACCTAGGTGCGCATGCTTTCATGGCCTCATTCTTTGCATGTTTGCATGTAAGTATGTACGTATGCAAGTATGTGCGTATGTACCTGCGCGTACATGAAGATTACGAGTTTAGAGACAGCGATGAAAAGCAGCCTACACTGTTGTGGGCGTTGAGGAGGGATATCGGTCCGGTGTCTGCTGCTAGGCGTTGAGCAAATCTGCATCGGACAATTCTGCGCAACTGTCAGCACAGGGCAGCTTGCAAAACAAGGAAACACACACGCAACCAGAGAGCGATTGGAACGTACAATATTGGGCTTGCGGAAAGGACGAGCACACACACACGGTAAGCAAATAATCAAAATCACAATGGCCTCAACACGTTTATTTCACAGCCGGACGGCATCTTGCGGTGGTGCCCTTGTGGGCTATTCCTCGCCCTCCTTTCATAAAGTTTGCCGAGTCTTGCCGAGTAAGCAAGACTAACATTTCGAAAAGTTCCCATGACACCCTATGCCAGGGACGCTCTAGCAGCGTCCCAACATCTCCCCAAAAACCCTCACATCTCTCACCTTCCGAGAGATGAGTGCAACCATTTGCCCCCTGTAGGTTGAACTTCCTGCCTTTACCACCTCTGCTGGCAGCACGGTCGGCAAGACCTCCGGCTCCGGCTCGTCTTTGGGCTCCCTAGGTGCTGACAGGTAGACAGCCCGCGCCAACACCAAGTTGGATGCCAACAGGTGAGGCGCAAAGATATGGCTGTGGCTCAAAAAAATAAGGAGAAACAAAAAGAAAAGAAAGTAATAAAAAAAAAGAGAAGAACAAAACGGTACCAAAATGGAACCCTGATAAGTGGAAACATGGACCAAAACCTGCGTAACCCCTCCTTTTAATTTTGAGCCACACCCACAGGATCCCTTCTTTCTGCATGGCTTGCATCTCGCATCGCCATGGCGTGCCTAGCCCGAATTTGAATCCTGGCCATTGGGGCTCCAACGGGCCGATGGGGAAGCTGCAAAGGTGGGAGCACGCAACTTGACCTTTGATTAAACGCTCCTGCCCAAACAAAGAACTGACACCGGCCTTGGATTCAAACGTCAGGCAGGCTGCAACCAAGCGTCTCCACAATCCTCACGAGGGACTCCCGCTTCCGTGAAGTGGAGGTGCGTCTTGATCCACTGGCAGGCATCTTGCCGGCATCGTGGCTTAACTCTCTGACCCAAGACCAAAGGCGCGCCTGCTGGCGATGCTCCTTACGCTGTTTGTCCTTTGCCTAGGCCACGGCAAGATGGACGGCATATGATGGGTGTGCGCGCTTTTCCTTTTTTTGGGGGGGGCCTCTTTTGGTGGATTTAAAAGGAAAGTGAAAGCAACACTTTGTCCTTCTTCTTCTTTCTTTTTTGGGGGAGGGAGGTCAGGGGGGGTCAGCGGGGGGGTGGGGGTCCCCTAAAAGAGACACACCATGCCACGGCACTCGGCACACCTCCGAGGCGACCGCAGTTTGGGGGGGGAGGAGTTCTGCGAATCCACGGACGCCTCCCGAACTCGGTTGAGCCGAACAAACCCCCCTCTGAAGCAAAAGTTGTTAACGGACTGCTGGTGGTTCGGATTGCTGGTTTGGTTGTTAAAGGACTTTCCCATTTACCCTCCACAAGAACCAGGGGTTCGATTCCCAAACCACCAACTAAGGCACAACTGAGACAAAAGGCACAGAGCTGGCCGTAGCAAAAACTGGCATCCACACCTGCTCCAAGCGAATCGATCCAAATGCCCCGTGCCTCCGTGGGAAGATCAGAGCTGCTATCCATGGCCTTGGAATGCCAAAACTAAAAAAACATATCTCAACATATCAAATGCAGTCTGCGAGCACCGGATGGATGCAATGCTGGCGCAGAATGCATGCTGATGACATGCTCAGTGGCGCTGGTGCCTACGCACCACTGGCAGACCCTTTGCTGCCCGAGGTCCAGCAGACCTACCTGCCCCCGGTTCGGCAGTACCAAGGAATCCATAGCCCTTGATGGCTGTGCAAAGTCGGCGTGGCAGATGTACCGACACGCGGGTTGCTGAAGCATGGTTCGAGTCGGGACCCATCTCAGCCCTGGGCCACAAAGGAGTGTGCGCTCGAAACTGGGCGGGCAGAGATGTGAGCATTCAGGAAATGCGTTGACATCGTTGATCCTGGCTCTTAAACCTGAATTGAGGAATTCCTAAGGGACCCTTTATGATGGCGAGCTCGTTACCCCAGGTGAGCTTTTCTGGGTAACGGAATAGTTTTCCCTCGCACGAGACACCATCTCTGAAGGTCTACGCTTTCTGGCGCAGTCCTGCTCTCCAATTCCCACCACACTTACAGTATTTTGCAATGGTGCGTCGATGCTTCCACACACTATGGAAATCATCACAAACTCAAAGTTGCAACCACGGCCAAGCAAGAACTTGCGGCAAACGAACATGCCACACAGCTTGCGGCAGGCCATTCGATGATTGCCATTGTGACCATCAGGCTTTTCGAAGGAATCCTCGCAACGTGTCTTTAGTTCCAAGCGGAATGCTGCCCCTCAGGGAGGCCTGCCGGTAGATGTTCAGGTGAGTCACAATCAAAACCCGGTATTAAAATGGTCGATCTAATTAAGAAGCGGCCGCAACTATTTCCGGCTGGGATCGTCCCTTGCTAACCTTCATCTACCCGGGTTTTGATTGTGACTCAGGTGCCCTGACCCTCGCCAAGAGAAATCTCCCCCGCCCCGCCTGAGAATCTGGAGCGCTTTGTGGCATCCATCTCTGAGCCTAGGAGGCCATCGCGATGCCAGCTGAAGGGCAAAAAAATCCGTCAGCCCAGCTCAGACGCAGTGCCAAAAAGGGAGCATGGGCAAAAAAATGTGATTTTCCTGCCATTCAAGTTGCACCCTGGGCACTGGAAGGAACAAGCAGCAAGGTCGAAAAGGGAAAGAGCATTAGTCCAACCACAGTCCTCACAGCGATGACCGACCCCCACGCAACCAGCGGGGCGCGGACCCCGGCTGGGCTCCTCGAGGCTCGCAGCCTGGCTGAAGGAAAAGGCACGGGAACACCGAGCCAAGGAACACTGGGCTGTCCTCAGATCCCCTGCTACAAGTGTCACTTTTTGTGGGTTAAATGGAAACTAAAAAGCTAAAAAGCTAAGGGGATGGCCGGGAGCCACCAAGAAAAGAGTGCCATTTGGCTTCAACATCAACTCAAATCTCCACTCTCGCCGCCTCCAATTCCCAGTTCCCTCGCCACAAGTACGACTTGGTGTGCACCGCTGAGTCATGGCTGGAATTGAGCCCTGGTATGAAGGACATCTACTGCTTGCATCACCTTCAAAAGTAAAATGTATACCAACTCCGTCACAGTGGGAAAGACGTGTGGGCCAATCCCGCTTGTCAGCCTTCTTCTGCAGCAGCCGAAGGCGCGCGTCACTGAAAGCCTTCAGCCGGGCAGACTCTTGGTTCTGGGCACAAACATCGAGCTTGGGGTTCGATGCCCATCATGTGACCCGCATTTTGCCCCAGGCCTGCGCTGCGGGGACCATCTTGAAGAAGAAATACTTCTTGGCACGGGGGATGGCCTCCGCCATCTCCTAAGCACGCAAGGGCGCACACGACCACCCAAGCAGACTATGTCATACGGGTGCCCTTGGGATGAAGCGACGACATCTCCTGGCCTGCCCTTCCCAGAAAGGGTGCGCAGCCAACTCTTCCAGCAGGCGCCCGAACAGCCTCGCCAGGCGTGGCACTTGCCGATCCTCAGCGGGGCAGAGGGCAGAGGGCACTGACTAGATCAAAATGCCACACCTGCAAGCAGCGGGAAACGCACCGTGCCGGTGAATGCATCCCAGAAAAAAGCGCCAGCAAACGCTTCGACCGTCAGGCAACCACAGGCAGCCCCAGCAATCACAGGGACCAAGGCAACCCCAGCAGCAGACAATCAAGCGTCTAGACTTAAAGCTGCAGAGCTGAAACTTTTCGACACGAGGCCACGTGGCAAAGCCGCAAGTCTGAGAGCCACGCATTCATCAGCTCTTCCAGGCTAGATTCGTCAACCTAAAACATCGACAGGCAGCTGCGGTGTCTAGAGTGCTGGGCGAAGATTTGGGCCAACAGTGAGCGGGTTTGACCTTCCTTGCATCAACATGCCCATGCACTATCCCTACGAAACACTTTTCTGCGTTTTGAGCCTGAGGTCGAGCCAAGAGTCGACACGCGAGATGTTACCTCGCCTTGTCTGGAAGGGCTGGCAACCTGACAGGTCATGATGGAACGGGTTGCACCCCGTTAAGACAGATCTTGGGCGTTCAGCACTAGCATGGAGTGCTGGATGGTCGGGCATCGAAACAGGATGAGCGTTCAGGGGCGAGCAAGAAATTGATCCTACCCAGAGCTTTCAGCAGAACTGTTCAACCCCACTGCCCAGAGAGCCAGAAAGCGCGCCTCACCGCCTGGGTGATTCTCCCATAGGGGGCGACGCTATGCACGTCGCAGCTCACCGCCTGCCGCACATACGTGGAAGAGCCTGTTAAAGCTCGCTGTCCACTGCCAGCGGGCAGCCAGCCCTCTCAGGGAATTGCTTCCCAAAGGCCCCTTAAAAACTTGCAGGTGGGTAGCTGGAACGGAGCGCCGCTCTGCTTTGCGGGCTTCCTGCTGCGGGGCGAAGGGCGGGCAACCCTCGCCTCGGCGTCGAAGCACTGGACGGCGCGGTGGTAGTGAGGCCTCGGCTCGATTGGAGTGCAGCGGATCTTTTGGATTCTGGAGCCTGCAGACTCGCAGCGCCCCAAAAAACAGATGCACACATCCCCCCAGCGCGAAAAGGCGACCCGCCAGCCCAGGGGCCTAGGCCCCACTTGGGATCCCTGCACAAAGCACTTCTCCAGAGAGGTCAGGCCCATGGCCAGCAGGAGCTGACAAAAGCAAGGCCTGTCGCATGCGTTTGAACCCGAAGTCGTCCACCCGAAGAAAAGAAGAAGAAAAGAAACGCACATCAGGAACCCGAGTGCAATATATATATATATATATATGTATGTATGTATAATAATAATATTAATAATAATAACAATAAGAAGAAGAAGAAGAAGAAGAAGAAGAAGAAGAAAGGACCCTGCCTGCTCAGTAGAACCGCGGCTTCCTCACCCTGGCATGCGACATGGGGGCGTTGATCAGAAGGTCCCTGCATACATCGGATGACCATTGGTTGGAAAACCCATAAAAATGAGATTGCCCCCACTAAATTGGAAAAGCTACCCATGGTTTAGTGGGGGCCTTTAAGGGAATGTTGATCACCCCCCCCCCAAAAAAAAATAAAGCTCAGGTGACATCCCCAACAGCATGCGGTGCTCTGTTTAGTGCCTGCACCACCCCGCAGCCCTCTGAGAACCTCGTGGAACCTTTGTGGAGCCCTGATGGAACCCTGGTGGAACCCTGGTGGAACCCTCGTGGAACCTTACCTCAGGGCCGCCCCGGACCACCCCGGAGCCTATCTGGGCTGAGACCCCAAAGCTTTCAGCTGTTGGGCAAGAAAAAAAAAAAAAGTGTCTTCGGCATTTCGAGCACCTCCACGGGTGGCGGCAGCACCAGCTTGGCGAAGCTAGCGCAGAGCCGACCCAGCTCTTCCAACTCATCGGGCGTGAGCTTCACCTCCACCTGGCCGAGATTGCAGCTTCTTCTCCTGCAAACTCCGCATAAAAAGGGTGCGGATGTATTTTGGGAGCTTTTCCCGTTGTTTTTTGTGTGTGTGTGTGTGTGTGTTTCTTTTTTTTGTGTTTCTTGTTTGTTTTTTGTCTTGGCCAGTAAAATGTCGTATTTGACAGATAATTCCACATAACAAAAGCCCCCAGGACTGAATAGAGGCCATTTGGCTGTGGGTCAAACATAAGGTCCCATTTTGGGAACCCTGGAAAATCGACACATGGACTAAAACCTGCAGTCCCCTGGTAGTTTAATTTGACCCACACCCATTTGTTGACTCTTTCTGCGGGTGATCAAAGGCAACTGGTTGGTGGTTCCCTTTAACCGACTGGGTGACTTTGATACCGGTACAATAATGGAGCCAGGAACAGGCACAGGGGTGAGGCTGTGTGTCAAAACGAGCTGGCATCCATATAGGATCACATGACTTTGTCCGCAAAGTATACAACACGCGGCGCTCTGGTATGCGAGGCGCACACGGATCTGCATTCGTATTGCACATAGTCCAGCAGTACGAGTTGTACTGCGATCTTTTGCGATGTGATGCGCCATGAAGGCTGGGCAAGGTCCAAATCCCATGGGCCTTGCTCCTCTGGTCAAAGGACGGTGTCTCGCCAACCTCGCAGGGCACTGCTGAAAGGCCCCTTGGGCCCAAAGGCAGCCGATCAAGGCGGGGGACCCATGCAGCTCAAGGGCCTTCTGGTCGCATGCAATGGGAACTGAGGCGAACATTTGGTCGCACTCTGCAGCCAATCGGCTAGGCCGCGCTGACCCACTAGCACGGAAGGCAGCAGCTGCCGCGGCCGCGGCAGCGGCAGAAACACTGCGCACCACCAGCGGTCCGCCTGGCTCGGTGGATCGCAGTTGTCACTATAAATGGCAACCAGACATCTTCCTTTTGGCCTTAAAAGGGTGGTTCCTTGGTTGTCTATTGGACAGGTGAACGGAATCGCTGGGGGATATCAATGCCAAGTCCAAGCTTCTCTCAAGTATTGCCCGATGGAAGCCACAAACGGGCTGCCGTCGATGGTTTGCTAGACACGTAGAAAAGTGCGAACTGGCTTGGCAAACCTTGCGGGAAGCTTGCCAATGTACAGGACATGCGCAGCCAAGTTTTGACCACTTTGCCGAAATCTGACGCCGCACGAGCAGGCAATGTGCCAGCGACCTGACGGGCAGAACTGTCCTTTCCGCGCCGCCTCTTGGTGCGCGTCCGGCTCATCGTGCTTGTGCCCCTCCGCCTGCGACCGGCAAGGACAACCTCCGACAAACCTGAGCCTTTTGGGACGACCAAACTGCATGACAGGTTCGCATGAGGCCATGGAGAACGTTCAAGCCCGCCCATCCACGCCAAAGCTCATCCGAGCTGCGCCACCATTCTGCAAGCCAACTCGCACCAAGATCATCAACCAACACTTTGGGCCCACCCCTCCCGGCCCGCCCCGCCTTCCCCCCGCCCTCCCCCTTTTGCGGGACCCCCAGACACACAAACCCCCGCTCTGAACAGATCGGAAGCCAAATTCGGCAGAGCAAACAAAACGGCCAGAGCACCTGCCGGGCCAACTGCTGCGCCACATACGCGCCATCCGTCGCCAAAGCACCTGGCGCGAGCACAAACCCCAAGGCCTAGAAGCACAGCCCAAAAGGCAGAAGCCAACGTGGTGCTTGCTTCTTGGGTGTGTGTGGCAATGCTGACATTGGGGCAGGTATTTTCAACATGACAAGTGGACGTCGAACAACATGGGCCCATGGGCATCAGGTTGCGATTGAGGTGGTCGGGTGCAAGGTAGGCTTCAAATTGGTATTGGTGAGCGTCGCCCACAAGGGAGCAGGGAACAACAGCTGTTCTGCTGCACCACACGGATGACAGCATGCAAACCAAGTATGCGCACCTTGCTGTGAGAAGCGCTTGCTCTCCAGCCGCGCTCCTGCCAGCAATCCAGCCCAAACCTGCAAATAGTACATTACTTCGCGGGCAATGGCTAGCGCTTGGCACTCCATTGTGCGCCAGTCTTTGCAAAGGGCCAAAAGGTGCAAGGCCAGTCTGAAAATCATCTCGTCACATCGAAAATCATCCCTCCGCCGCGCTCGATAATCCGCGCTACCGCTCCTTTGCTAAGTACCTGGCACCACATTCGAGCATTGCGAGGCCCTGCGGCCCAAAACATGGCAACAAAGCCCTGCCTCTGGAGCCAGCCTAAGCCATGGAATGCACAAAATCCAGACCTGTGAAACAGCGACAGCTGGGCGCCCAGACGCGGCATGTAGGATGTATTTGGATCTGGCAGGGCCTGAAAAGCGCCACAGTGACGGGCATGTGTGGTAGCCCGGAAAGAGGGAAGCACAACTTCAGGCCCCAATTCCCGGCCAGACCTCCTGCTGATGTCCTGGCGGACACAAGTGACTGGCGCTTGAGCTACTGAACAAGCTTTCATGGTGAAGCACAGCATGAATTTGAATTTGGAAGGAGCCCTGATGCTGACGCACTGCCGGGGGCAAAGGTTCCAACCACATCCCGGTAGACTCACGTGGCATCTCATGGGCCGCGCCTGCCACTCAGCTTAGGTGGCTTGCCGTCCGCCTGCTGGGAGCACAAAAGTTGAGAAGAACATCACCACCAAACGATGTAAAAAGAAATCAACTGCACTGCCCGAAACCGTGGCCGGCCTACATACTGAAAAGCGAAGTATGGAAATATGCGTGTGGCTCAAAACCAAAGCGCCAGGTTTAGGCAGGTTTTAGTCTTTGGCGTCATTTTCCTCGGTGCCATGTCGGTAGAGGTTTTGAGCCACAGGCATATGAGTGGTAATCAAAACCTGGTATTAAAATGGTCTACCCAGAACCATGAAAAGAATTAGGAAACTGCCGCAGCTAATTATGGTTGGGAGTATCCCTCACTAACCTTCATCCACCCAGGTTTTGAGCAAGTGGCTCCTATGGAAGTACAGGCGCCAAACGCAAGGCATGCCTCCTTGCCAAGCCCCAGCACGCGGTGCGCTGGCGGTGGCACCAGCATGGGCAGCTCCGCCTGAGGCGACCGAGCTGGGCAAGGGTCGATTCGTGGCAACCCGGGCCAACTGCTGGACATACTGTGGATGGACGAAATCCATTTCGCACCACCTAAAAAACCCTGGAATAATGAATCCCCTGCAAATACCAATGAATGCCAATGAACAATGGTTTCCCATGGTTTCCAACTGGTGCAGGATTTCGTCCATCCACAGTATCTCCTAAAAGCACTTTCACCAATAGCCAGCCACTAACACCTTCAAGACCAGGCAACGCGCAAGATGCTTACTACACATATGTCGACCTCTATGAAGTTTCGGCACGAGACATGTCTCCTGAAGGATCTCTACCATACCTCTGTGGAACATCTCTTTTTAAAGGCATTCTTCAACAACTGTGTGCAAGATCTCTGCCACATCTCCGCACATATTTTCTCTCTCTGGGGAATATCTACAAAACACACATCTCCACACAAGATCTCCGGAAAGGGCCATCCGCACAACATGTTCGTCTGAACACGCTCTGCTTTCCAAGATTTCTGCGCCCGATCTCTCTTACAGGAGCTCTTCATGATCTCCGCGCCAAGTCCTTCGATTCGTCAGCATAACGCCACTACGCAAATGCCACTTGCCACATTCGCATCTACGTCATACATGTTGTACCTCCCCTACGCAGCCACAGTACACCCCCAGGAGTTTGGACATAACTCTTGTGCGAGGGCAGCCTTTGGTCATACCTTGACCTTCAGAACAGCCCTGCTGGCAGTACCCCCGCCTCCTTGCCGCGCAACAGATCTCCGGCATCCTTGGAAAGAGCCGATGCATCGAGGGAATCCACGGCCGACAGTTCAGGGTGCCAATGTTAAGAGGCCGGCGGCCTTTTGGCCCCGGTCCTGGGATTTTATTGGCGCTTAGACTTGGCACCTGCGCTCGTAAATTTTGCAAGGACCTTTGCAAGCCGACCTGACCTTCTCGCTTGGCTGGGGCCATGGCCCTCCACAGGTTGACCTTGGAATTACCGCCCTATGCCATGCACTGGACGGCTTTGCCCAAGGCTCCCCACCATGGAAGCTGCCTGCCTCGCATGGCAGAAGAAATTGGGCGGAAACAAGATGGCGACTCAAACAAAGCCTGCCAGGCGGGCATGCACCAACGGCGGAGCCGGACAGTGCTATACCAAAAGCCAGCCCTTCCACTTTGTGCCCCCCAAGTCCTTGCCTGCCGCTCGGTGGTACTGAAGGCAGGGCTGGCAACGAGGCTGAGCCCGCCTTATGGCAACCCTGAATGTCGAGAAACTGAACGTGCACTCAGAGTCTTACCTTTAGACCTTTCCTGAGTGCACTGCTTGAACTAAATTGACCAAGCACTGAACTAAATTGGCTCCAACTGCTTAGGTTTGCTTGGCAATTTGCTTGAACGTGCACTGATTCGCCAAGCAAACCTATCCTGCTTCACCTTCTCCGCTTCCACATTCGTCCGGCAGATTTGATCAAGTGAGTGGCCAAAGGCAAACTGGCCCATGTGGCGACCCCTTCTGCCCTTGCAGGCCCCAAGGCGCCGACAAGGCGCCGGGCCAACGAAGGCACATCCTGCCCAACGGGCACCCCGTCCGAGCGACTCAGCGACTCGGCGATGGCCGGCGCCTCGTGGTGGGAGGTGGGGCGCCAGCGCGCCACTGAGCGGTCCTTGGTCTGTAGGTCTCATCGCTGGGCGACAAGCTGAGGAAACACGGGCCGATTTATTGCTTGAGCCAGTGCCACTGGTGGCACGGTTTCTCCTTGACTCTAAGGCCTGCTCCAGCTTCTTCCTGGAGCGGATTGATCCCAGAGTCGGCAAGTATGGCAGGAGCTCTGGCTTGGGCATGGCCTCAGCCCTCCATCCGGGCAGCCCAAGAGCTGCTGTGACCAGAAAATATCTGTTCACATTGGAAACCCTTGGACTTCCAACTCGAGGCGTCAGGCGTCAGGCTTGGTGTGACTCGGTTTTTTGTGTTTGTTTTTTGGTTTTGTTTTTTTTTGGGGGGGGCACTTGTTCCAATTCAGCTAGAAACCTCGCACAGCTGCGCCAGCTCCTTTGGCGGCGCTTGAGCCTGGCCTCGCAAAACACGCGCCGCGCCCATGGCACTGGATCACAGAAGTCCATTCCACGGGGCACCCAGTGAATCTGATCTATGGAAGCGGCGACCAAAGACCCCCCCTCCCCCCTTCCGCCCCCCCCCCCTCTCTTCCCCCCGTCCCCGCATTCCCTCAGTTGCCACCTTTTGCTCACACCACCTTCAGCTCCTCCTCTGGCTGTCGGGAAGGCACCGGTCGGGAGTACAGCGCCACTCCGACGGACACCAGCAGCGCAGAGAGAGCCCCGCCTAGCCCCAGCGGCGCGCCGAAGAGCAGGAAGCCCAGCAGCATGGTGAAAACCACCTGGACGCTTCAAACAGCTCCCCTGCACCGTGCGCAAAGTAGAGCCACATAAGTCAGACAGAAATTCACGGCCAACAGGGCCAACGAGGCAACTGTGGTTGGCCACTTTCTCATTACCAGTCCACATTCTGACCGACGCACTCAAAGTCCAAACAGTGTCCGAGATTTAAGTATCAAAGCTCAAAACCATATCAAAAGTGCAGATGATGAAACTTGCAGTGTTCAAAAATTTGATCCTTCCTGCACCTTCAAAACATTTCAAGTCGTGAGCCGTTGGCACCCGGGTCCCATGCCCTCAATGACCCAAGCCCCTTCCTCCAGCGCAGAGGCGACCGCTTTCCTCACCGAGTCCAGGTGTTTCAGGAAGAAGCCGGTGACAAGACCCACCGTGGACATGATGCCAATGATGCCAAGCACCTAAGCCAGGATTGAGAACTTTCCTGCCAGAACTCACGCACTCGCTTTCCACTGCGTGCGCGCCCCGCCGTTTCTAACATCTTCCAATTGCTCCATGCATGATGGATCTGCGCTGTCGCAGGGTTTGGCGGGTTTGGCCACATTTCCCTTCCCAATCCGGGGTTCAAGGAACAGACCCACCATCTGAGCCGCACACCCGCGGCGATGCCACCGCGCGCAGGTTGTCAGGCGAGGCTGCCGCAGCCAACTGGCAACGCGGAAAAGCTCGAACTGGAGAAAGGTCAAGCCTCCTGCGCCTGTGGAACCCTGACCATACCCAAATGGGTGTGGGTCAAAATTTAATTCACCAGGGGACCGCAGGCTGTAGTTGAAGTTTCCATTTTCCAGGGCTCCATTTTGGGTACATATTTTTGTTCACAGCCAAATGCCGAGGTCAAAATGGCATCAGTGCACCCACTGTGCGATCTCTCTCGCTCGTGCCCCACATCCCCAGCCGTGCCCGGCCTCGCCCTTCCAAGCTAGGACCACACCGTTCACCAGGATTGACTGAAGGTACATGAAAACGTTCCTCGAATAAGAAAAAAAAAGTGCCACTGCCGGCCAGTCACCTCTCCCACGCACAAGGGCTTCAGCTGATTGCTGCCAGTGGCATGCCCCTCCAAAAGTTTAGCCAGGCGGCTGCAAGTTGGTGGTGACGCCACTCTTGCCAGAGTCCGAACCCTTCAGCAGCACCTGCGCAGACATGGCCGAGCTTTGTCACTCTTCAAAATTGCAGAATGGCAACTGGACACGCGACTGGCCGAACGATGCAGGAAAACTGCACAGCGGCTGACCTCGTTGTAAACCCCGGCGAGCACGGAGCACAGCATCTGCACCAGCAACAGGAACCACGAGCTCAAGTTCGCCTCTGCTTCCCGCACGGTGAAGCAAGGACATACAAGAAGCCAACTGTCATGGTGGCCGACTCCCACATACGACTCCCAAAACCCGGAGATGCTCAACGAACCTCCCTGCCTGAAAACCAAACTTGGTGACTTTGCCAGACTCCTTGCACATGCAGCCGAGCGTGATGAGCAGGATTGCCGACCACTGGTTGCGATTCAGCCGCTTTGAGAACAGGACCTGATAGAGCCTCACGTATGGGCAATGTGCCGAGACTGCACACATTGTTGAGCGGGCGCTACATCGAAACCAGAAGCAAACCAGGAAGAAACAACTTGGACGGGACCCTACTGTTGCACGAATCCTTAGATGTGCTTGCTGCCTTGTCAAGCCCATGATGCGCAAGACATGGTCAGGATAAACGCTTGAATGCTGGGCCAACGGACAAGCGCTCTCAACAGTCACCGTAGGTCACAACCATAGTACGAACGCAACAGCTTTGTCCACAAGCACAAGGCCATGCGCGTGTACCAGCTAGGGGGAAACGTGGAAGCGTGGCATAGCTTGAGAGAAACAAGACTACTCATGTGGCAGCGCTGGGCAAAAATTGCTGGGCACCGTGCACTCCAGTCAAAGCTATCTTCAGCTGGATCAAGACGTTGTAGGTTCCTGGGTCAAAGGCTGCAAGGTTCACGAAGAGCAAGTTGTTGTACAGGGCATACAGCCTGAATCAGCCAGGCGGGATTCCAATACACGGAAGGACATCAACTGTCGAAAGTGCTCACTTTTGTCCAGAAAAAGAGACTAGACACGAAAGCCCAAGAAAAATTGGTTCCGCTTACGTGTCCATCCTCTTTGCTTTCCCAGGGCCGGGTGGGCCGTCGGGCCCCCCCTCCCCGCTCCCGGGCATTGGAGGAAGCGCCTCAGTTCCCTACGAAGCCAAAGGCACACTGCCGGGATGGCATACTTCACCAGTACATGCACTTCTCGCCGTGAGACCTTCAGCATCTCTGCGAAGGAGCCGTCATAGACCTGCACACCACTCATAGAGCTTAAAATGCGCATGAACGCCACCACCTCGCCAAAGCCGCATCGCCCGAAGCACCGAAGCAGCCCCCCCCCCCCCCCCGGAACCCCAAGCACTTCATGTGCAGCTCCCCAGGCCAACCGGGCCAACCCCCAAACCCTAAGCCCCTCACAACGTACATCGCCGTGGCCAGGCCCAGCTTCACCGTCTCCGTCAGCAGCACCACCGAGGTGGCGTTGTAGCTGGGGGCGCCCCGCAGGCGCGAGGAGTAGACCAGCAGATGGGAGGAGGTCCATAGGCCCACGTACCTCGGCTGATTCCCAACAGATCCCAAGGGATCTCGCTGAACCAACCGGAGGCGCGGCGGAGATGGATCGTGGGGGTTCCCACCTTCCTCTCAGAGTGTCTCTTAAATCTGGTGTGACATGTGGCTCTGCTTGCCCAGGAGCGTGGCAAAGATGCCCTGCTTCAGGGCAGTGTCAAGGCCAAGCATTCGCGCCAGCGATATGGCTTTCGGCAGCCAAACACAGGCGTCCAACTGAAGGATCTACAAATACAAGTACCATCCCCAACGATGGAAGGCTTGGACGACTTGAAGGTAAACCACGGGGCTGTGGCGATGCTACGAGGGTCTTGGCTTTGGTTCCACAACGGTTTTGCAGGTTGATAAACGGTTGATAGGTATTGTGTGCGTGTGTGTGTGTGGCTAGTCTCCTATCGACTCCGATTCTTCGAACATGGCTTCCACAGGAATGCCTGTGAACAGCGCGCAACATGTGGGAAAATGCGCCAAAAGCAGCAAGGGGTTGCATAGCTGCCATGATCTTGCACAGTCGTGGGCATCAAGAGCAAAAGCTGCGCACGTGTGAGCGGCCAAACTGCAACGAAGAAGAAGGACAATGATTCCAGAAGCCATGACCTACAGCGATAAAAGCACATTAAACCCGTACGCAAGCAAAGGCCAGGCTCAAAAACGCGTCTAGGGAAGGCACAGCAGTGGCAGCAGTGGCAGTGGTGGCTCCATCGCACCGTAAACATCAAGCCCCACTTTTCCTCGCCATAGCCCCCGGCCACCGGGTCCCTTAAGGACGCCCGGCTCACACACTGCTAAGAATCCTGCTTGCGTTGCTGCTTTGCGGCCTTGCGCGGCAAAGCCATGCCCCGGCTGAAAGCGCCACTCTCAATATATGGTAAGAAGACGGTACGCGCCCTCAGCAGCAGTGTGGGTCGTGTACTGGAGCGCGCCACTTGCCTAGACACAAGAGAGGTGCAAGAAGCTTGTCCAGCTTAAGAGATTGCTTCAGATGTGCTTTGTGCTTGTCCGGCTTTTAAAAAGTCGGAGCTTCATGCGTACATCAGGTACCCGCCCCCGCCCCCCCCACCGTCTTCCCACCCACCCCACCGTCTTCCCACCCAAGCGCCTCCACCCGCTCGCGCCCGCCCTCAGAGCGCACCGTCCAGGTGCCGTTGGCGCAGCGCTCTTCCGGGCTCAGGGCCACGGCTGCGTCCTCGTGCGTGTGGCCTGCACAAGTCCCAAGTCGTTTATCTCAAGGAAGCCATAGCTCAGCTTCCTTCCAATTTGTTTGGATTGGTTGGAAGGTGGTTAGGTCGTTAGGTTGTTAGGGCTAGTTTCCCATTCAATGCAGGGTTATTTGAATAGCCATAGCCAACATTCTGGACCCAAGAAAAGACACTCATTTTTCGGGGCTCTCCTCAGGTCCCCTTCTAAAAGTATGATTTTTAGTGGGTTAAATGGACGCACGCACCCCCCCAAAAAATAATAAGAAGAAAAACGCTACGGTTGCATAACCCCGCCCAGGCCTGAGAGCAAGGCCACGATGGGCCCGGGAGCGGCATGCGCCTGGATCAGCTCACGGAAGTCCAAGGTGCTCTGCAGGTTCCCGGAGGGCCATCTTGGCCGGTCTTCCACTTGCCACAACTCGGCTGAGACAACCAGCCGAACGCGCGCGATTAGACAAGCAAAGCTGAAAACCAGCTCGGCGAGCTCTCGGTTCCGAACGGGTTCTTCGGAGCGGAGTTTTTGCACCATGGCTCTAGTTATTAAAGCTCAAAAAGAAGTGGACATGGTAATTGCTGCAGCAAGTGATGCAGTTTAAGCGTGCTCACATAGACCGTGCTGAGACACCACGTCTGTGGCAGCGCCCCAGTGCTGGTGACCGCAGAGCTCTTTGGGCGGCAGCTTCATGCCCGGCAGCATCAAGGGGATGTGGAGCAACACAACCACCGGTACGTTCCTCAGTCCGAAAACGTCGGCTATGAAGCGCAGGTTTTTACTTTGCTCCGAGCTGCGCGGCGACATTGGACAGCTGGACACGCACAAATTCGAGTTGGTCGCTGTCCACCTGAAAATTGGAGTTGTCTACGAAGAGCAGCAGCAAGCCTGCGAGAGCAGGCCCGAGCATCAAACAGCCTCAAAAACGCAGTCACCGGTGGGAGAGCCCCTGGCGAGGATTTGCCTGCAAACATTTTGCCGCACCAATGATTTTGCGCGGCCTTTGACCACTGCGCAGCCGTAGAGAATTCCAATTCCAGGGCGATCCCAATAACCGAGGTTGTTGTAGCAAGAACTGACACTCGAGACGCTCTGTTCGTAGAAGGGCCTGAGCGCGCTCACAAATCCCATGCCAGTCGAAATTTCACACCCATCTGGGAACGGATTTTTGGACTGACTTTCTTGGTTGAACCAGGCGGGATTCTCCGTAGTGGACTCACAGAATGTTGGACACTTTTTGCAGAGGGGTCAACAGCAACCAAATTTGGCCGGGGCAGCACCTCCTACTCTTTGAGTCAAAAATGGGCTAACCCGGCTAACCCGGCTAACCCCAACAGGGCTTGCCCCACTCAATGGAAACATAGACTAAAACCTGCAGTCTCATTTTGACCCATACCCAAATAGCCATAAAGCCAGTCACCACATTTGACCCCCTGCTTTTATACACAATGATGAATAGTGCTCCCTTCCAAAAGTGATAATTCGCAACCAACAACACCCCCAAAGAAACCCGAAAACCCGGGGGTTGAGTGTTGGAAAACCGGGGGTTGACATTTATGCAACTGCTTGCACCGCGGGGTCCTTCCGTCGGCCAGGGCGCCGGAAGGTGGAAGACAGCTCCGAGACGCGGTCGGCGTCGTAGCGCGCGGCCCCACGCTGGCCCTCCAGCAGCCAGTCGTGGTTCCCCGAGGTGAAGATGAAATCTTTGCCTGCGGCTCTTCAGCCCAAACCCAAAACCCAAAACCCAAAATTGGCCGAAATGAGATGTTTTTAGAAAACTGCTATGAGAAGGGGAGGCATGGTGGGAGAGTTTCGCAATGAGCTGGCAGGCATTTTGCTGAAGAAGGTTTGGCATGGAAAGGGGGGCTGCAAAGGCCCGGCGCAACTTTTGTGGTTTTTGCCCAATAAAGGGAACGCAAAACTCAACCACCGCCAGTTGCCGGGGCGCCCGTCAGCCGCAACTGCTCCAGCACCCACATCATGGTTCGATTGGACGGGAAGTTCAAAATGTCGCCACCTGACCAAAAACACCACAGCGTTCGCTGGAACGCTGAACCAGTTCCTGCCTAGCACTACCAAGTCAACGTTCCAGTCCCGCGCGAGATTCACCAGCCTTGAAAACCTCGGGCAGGCACACATGCATCAAATCCCTAACCAGCTGCCTGGCGCTGTCAGTTGAGTCTGGCACTCTTGCGCTGGAGTTGTGAATGCATTGGTTTCCCGGTTCCGGCTCCTGCAGCAACTGGGCCAACAAGACTTGCGGGTTGCGCGGCAAAACGAGGGACCCTGCTGCTTTCCTGTTGGCAGCAGTCTCAATCAACTTACACCTGACACATATTGGTTTCCCTGACGCATTCCCAAATAGCATTCCCGCGGAAAGCCTAGAAAGTGTGAAGGAAGGCTGCCAAGCATTCCCTGCCTTGAAAACGCAGCATGCATCCGTGACGAGCGGGGCGGTGCCTCCCAAATGGAGAAACGTTCAAATCTGCAGGATGCATCTGGAACAAACTGCACTGCGATGCATCCACGATAGGATTGCACCTGAATCAGTGCCTACGTTGGAGAACGAAGCATGGCGAAGCATCACGCAAGCTTCCAAAACAAGAAGCCTCGTAGCTGTGCAACAGTGCAACCGCTCCCCCCGGCCTCGTTGGCTAAGGATATGTGACTGTCAGTGATGTGCATCAGCCGTACCGGTGAGTCAAACACCTGGCCAACGTTGCTTCTATTGCGAAAAGCTAAGGTGAACAACACAAATGAAGCCCTGCCTCCTGGCCAGCGACCAATGTAAGCAATGCATTGCGAATTACGACTATTCTCAACAAAAAGCTGCCCATAGTGGGACACAGCTTGAGCCCAATGCAATGCACATGGTCACCCCCCTCCAATTGAAATGATTGAGACATGCATTGCGCGCCCCATGCTGCATACACCGCATGCCTCCTGGCGACAATTTGTCCACTTGAAGCATCACCGGCGTTGTTGCTTTTGAGAAGCATTGAACAATGCTTGAACAAAGCTGTTGCGCTTGGAAAGACATGCGCTCACCATGCTCGTTGACTTATGCGCTGCCTAGTTTTTCCGCGCCCTTTTCTCCGGCATCCAACCAGGTACACAGGAGGTTGCGGATGGTTTGCAACAAGGTGTCCTGTTTGGCACGGAGCTGATGCAACTGAGTCGCAACAAACTCGTGGGCCGCCCAGCGACCCCCAAGACAGTGATGGCGCTCGACAGCCACCAGCAGCCAAAGCGAGGTCTGCCAGCAGGGGAGCTGTCAAGTGGACTGGGGGCGTGCCAGTCCAAGAAGCCCAGTAGGCCGCGGACAGGGCACGGCTGAGGTGGGGAGGAGCAGCCAAGATATTTGAAGAATTGTTTTGCCCCCGCAAACCTTTTTGCCCGCAAAGCCATCGGTACCCCGAAACCTCCCCCAAAACAGGCGGCGCCGAATGAGGCGAAAGAACCCCCACAAAGGAGGCAGCTCGGGCGGCAGCAGGACGCACAGGCGAGAGCCAAGCGCCGCCCAACAAGGTGCACACCACGGCACGTTGAAGGGCCACGCCAAGGAGGCCCTACCGCCGCCGCTGCCACGCACCGGCTGAAGCGGCGCAGCGCCACGAAAGCGCGGAGGGACCGGACGTGCACCAAGCCGTGCGCGAGGTCAAACCTCACGGCTGAGGACGACTAAGCGCTGCGGGCTGGACCCACCAAGATTTTCCGTGTCTTGGACTCCCCGCCGCGGACCGTTGATGACAGAGATGTCCCCCCAGGGTCGTGTTTATTTCCTCTTTTGTTTCAATGGTTTCTTTCGCCTCAGAGAAGGCCGGGCGACCGACTAGTCTACCATCATCTCAACACATAGCGTGATGTGCCGGTTGGCCCGCCTCAGTCGCTCCACATGTTTCAGCCGTGTGCCGGGCGGCAGCAGGTGGGTGCTGCCCAGCCACTTATTGCAGCACGCCTTGGTTTCCATCTCCCGTGGCACTCACCCTAGCTGCGGAACAAGGCGCATGAAAAAAAAAATTCTGGTTTTGGGGCTCTAGTGCTCCTCTCGTGCCACACGGTCTTGTAAGGGGGGGTCTCGAAAGTCGGGGTGGGCCAGCTTGGTTGAGGATTGGCCTGGGATTGGCTTAGGGTGGTTGAGGACTGGCTGAGGGTTGGTTGAGGATTGGTTTGGGATTGGCTTAGGGTGGTTGAGGACTGGCTGAGGGTTGGTTGAGGATTGGTTTGGGATTGGTTTAGGGCTGGTTTGGGTTGGGTTGGCGGGTTTTGTTTAGGTTTTGGGGCTGGCGGAGGGGTGTTGGTTGAGGGTTAAGTTGAGGTTATCGGGCGGGGCTTGAGTGCTCTAGTGCGTAAGGGCGGGCTAGCGTAGGGTTGGTTTGGGGTTGGTTTGGGGTTGGGTTGGTTGGTTGGTTGGGGGCTGGCCTAGGGTTGGTTTAGGGATACGTTTGGGCTTCCAGACGCAGACTTAATCAGCGCTTGAAGAAAAGTGGCAAAGCAGAGGTAGACTGGAAAAGCACTGGAAAAGCACTGGCTTGGCTTGGGGTTGGTTTGGGACTGGGGCTGCTTTGGGGTTGTTCCTGGACGTGGCCGCAAGCTAAAATGTTCGATGCTTTTTCCTATTCCTAGCTATAGGGTTGGCTGAGGATTGGGTTGGTTGAGGGCTGGCTGAGGGTTGGACGTCGCCAGGGTCCGGCCCCACACGCGAACCCAAGCCTGCTCGACAAGGGGGGCGCGGCGGGCAAGAAGACCGCTGCGAGGACACGCAGCAGCATGGTCGACGAGGACATCCAACTCCGCCCCAAACGCTCGCGATACTAGGTGTGGTTTGGTTTTGAGTTAAGTTCAGGTTTTAGGGCCCGGTGGTCACGCCTAGCTTCAGGGTTCGTTTAGGGTTCGTTGGTGGAGGGCGGGCTGAGAGTTGGTTGCGGATAGTGTTAAAGTTTAAGCTTAAGCTCAGGTTTTAGGGTTTGTGTTTCTCGCATTTTTGCGTCTGCCCAAGCGGTGAAACACGGCTGCCTACGAGCGTGTTTTTTTCCAACGCGCCTTTTTCCGGTGCAGCAAGTCTTGTCCGGTCGCCAAGAGGGTCCAGAAGGCGACGACACCGGCAGAAGCGCTCGGACAGGGGGAGCGGGAGGCGGAGGCGCCTCAAGAGAAGCACCCGGAACAAGTCGGAGGAGTAAGCCAAGGCAGGGCAAGTTGGCACAGTGGTGAAGCCGCGGCTGGCAAAAGGGCCGGAGGGCCCTCGTGACGCTATTTACCGAACTCGATCCAGCGTCTCGGGCCTTGCTGCTGTCTCAAGCTGGGCCGGGCGGTAGCGTTGCCGCTGCCGCGCTGCCGACTCGCGACGAGTTCAGGTTTCAGGACGACACGTTTCGATGTGTCCTGCTCCGTCGCCTGCGCCTGCCGCGCGCCGTCGCCCGAGGAGCGACGAACGTTTTCCTTCGCGACCTCAGCCTCGGCATGCCGTTGTCCGGCTCGAGGTTGTCGCAAACGGGCTTCCCGGTTTCGGCGGCGCAGGTAGCGGTCCGTGCGGCGCGCTGGGACCAACCCCGCGCCGACGCCGAGCCCGGCCTCGCCCTGCAGGCACCAAGCGCCGGAGCACCTACCCGGAGTTCCGGGGTGCGGCGCGGTGCCGCCTCGTTGTCGTCGCCCTCGAGGTTGGGGGGCGCTGGGGACGAGACGGAAGCCTTCCTGCAGCCCCGAAGCCCAGCTGCCGCCGCATACGCGCGGTGGGGGCAGTTGCTGGCTGTCGCGGCGCAGGGCACGCTCGCGGCCAGCCTCAGCTCGCTTCCTCCCGACGCTGGCGACGCCGCTGCTGGGGCGACGCCGCAGGGCGACGTCATGCGCAACGCCCGCTGGGCGCCGGACCCGGGTCCCAGGCTTTGGGATTGATTTAGGCTGGTTTCGCGCTGGCTTAGGGTTCAGTTTGTAGGCTTTAAGGTCCGGTGGTCAGGGCAGGCTGGTTAGAGTTAGTTCAGGGTTTCTTGTTTGTTTTTGTCTCCTCACGCCTTTTTGCTCCTGGAGTCTCAGCTCGTCGGTGCTTACGGGGCCCCGGGCGCCAGGGCTTCCCCCTCCTGCAACAGGGATGCTGTTGTTGCGGCAGCTCGTGCAGGGCACTACCGCGCCGGCAAGCGGGAAACGTCAGGCGCGTCAAGGAACCCCGCGAGCAGGTCGCTGGCATCGGGGTCGGGCCCATCAAGGTTGCTGAGGCCAGGCGACGGCAAACAAGTCAGGCCCTCGGGCAAAGGCGGTGGAGGCAGCTGCCGAAAGCAAACCCGACCATCGGTGCACATAGGCGCTGCGCAAAGCAGGTCGCAACACGGCAGGCGCCGCACGTGGCAAGCAAACTCAAAAATCCGCTGCCTCGGTGCTCCAGCGGCCCGCGGCCTCAACACCGAGGACGACGAGGCGGCAACGGGCGTTGCCAACAAGTTCGGGGTAGGTGGATTCTTTGCGACGCCGGGCCCGATGGGCCGGCAGGGTCTCGCAAGGAACGGGCACACCACAGGCTGTGAGTGGCGACACAATGGTCGTGTCGACCGCAAGCTGCGTTCCAATCCACAAGGGCAAGCCGTTTGCACTGACCTCGATGCGGCGGTCATCGAAACGAGCGACCGCCACATTCAGGTCGCGCACAACAGCAGTTTCTCCGCGAACACGAGCGGCGGCCCTCTCGAGCGGGCATCCACGACTCCACAAAGCACCAGCCCTAGCGCAGGCTGCTCGGTGATCGCCAGGAGGGTCGAGAGGGCGACGACACCGGCAGGTGCGCTCCGACCAAAGGCCAAGGGCAAACGCCGAGACAGGTGTGGATGCGGGCCTGGACGACGTTTTAGTCGTGTCACTTTTCGCCTCCCTCGGCCTCGATGAGATCGAATGCGCCAATGCCGTCTACCGAAAGGTCAGTGAGGTGGCCTCAATTTGCGCTCTGGAGTGGCTCTCGCTCCGGCCGCCTATGGGCTTCGTGGGCGGACACGCTGCCTGTGCTGCAGCGCCAACCCCCGCGTTTGGCGGACGAGATCCTTGCCAGGCTACACGTCTGGCCCGGACTGATGGGCGTCCTGCGATCCCACGAGGCGCTCACCGCGGCGGGGTTTAGCCCGCCAACGGCTTCAGGCGGCTCTCCTGGCGCAGCTTGATGCTGCTTCCCGGGCCCTCCTGTTTTCCCAGAATTCCCAGACCGGGCCTTTCAGCAGCCGCCCTTTCACCAGCGCGCCGTCCCTGTTGTTGCAACTCTGGCAAGGCGCGGGTCGTTTGGTTGGGGTCCCAGGGCTGCCTAGTGACCAGCGTGGACCTGTCCGACTTCCAAAAAAGCGTGGCTTTGGCTGCTTTTCTGTGCGCCCGCGCGTGCTCATTACGTGCTCCGTGTGCTGCCCTCCTGAGCATACCCACAGCGTTGCAGTTGAGCACGGCCGCTCTAATTTGCTGCCAGCAGCCAGCTTCGCTGCCCCCCCTTTGCCATAGCCCAGGCCCGGGTGTAGAGAGCGAACTGGTGGGGCCGACAAGCCTCATCAGCCGAACGTGCGAGTAACCAACCGTCTCAGGAAGTCACCCGCACACCCCCACTAGGCTTTTGCAACGCCACCACACCGCCCAAGGCCTAGCGCGGCCGCAGAGACAGGGGGGAACTGAGCAAAGGCGAGCCGGTCAGCGACCAGGAGGAGGGAGTCAAAAGAACCGTCGTCCCACAAGAGCCTAAGCAGCGGAGAGGTGTGCCTGCTGGGGCCCGGCGCAGCGCCACGGCGGGTTGGCGCAGAGCAATGTCCGAGAGAGCATGACTGGGGAGTCAAGTCAGGCTTCCACAACTCCAGCCCTGAATCGCCGCCGAGTGGGGTCGGTCAGTTGGTGGAGGGTGTC